TGAAGAAAGTAAATAATATTTGACTAGATATTTTTCAAGACACTTCTATACAGCTTAAAGTGGCATTTAAAGGCTTAACTAGGTTCATCAGGTTAGGCAGGATAGGGTAATTATGCACGTTATTGTAAAACAATGGTTAGTTCTGTAGACTATCAAAAAAATATAAAGGAACTAATAATTTTTTACCTTAAAATGTTTTAAAAAAAATAAAAACTGCTTTTATTCTAGACGAAATAAAACAAATAAGACTTTCTCCAGAAGAAAAAATGTTATCTTAGTGGGAAAATTTCTGTGCTGTTAAACATCATTTGGAAAATATTTTAAAAATAATTTTAAAAAAAGCAAAAAAGCAAAGCGGGGCTAATAATTCTGACTTCAACAATATATTTTATGAAGAATTTTAAAATGAACCTCTTTTGTGTTATTGGGAATGCATTACTTATGTGGTAATAGCCAGGCTTTTACCAGCCTTTTAGGTCAGTTTGCCCAATAAAATTCCTATAATCTAAACCTCTCTACATACCTATGCATACATCATAATTTTCAAAAACTTTCAATTTTGAGTGTTTACACACAACTTCCACTTTAAAAACCATTTTCTAATTGAGGGAAATGTTGTGTAAATGACCCAAAAGATTTGAGTGCTGAAACACCCCTTTTTATTAATGTACTTTGACTTCATTTTCCTGTACAGATTTACAAACTGAATAATTATTTTTTAACTTGCGTTGAGCCAGATTATGTCTTAGTTACTTCAATGATTTACAGGTATTTAAAGACTTATTTGTGAATCCAGTTCTGAAAGCTACAATAAAGTATATGCACAGCTAGTGTTTTTCAGCTATTTTAAACTTCTGGTAAAAAGGTTAATGTGATATACATCATCATACTGATGTTGTACTGTAATTTTAATATATTCAGTTAAATAGACTTCAGAATTAATTTAGTTATTCAACGTAAAACAAGATGAAAGTCTATTTAAACGCAAACATTGTCAGTAGCAGCAGGCTAACACAGAAACTTTGGGGTAAAATAAATTTCCATGATTGATTGAAAAATTCAGTTAAATGCAGTGCTCCTTGTCCATTCTGATACTTTTTTAACATTGTCAGACAATGTAGGTCTTTGATTTTTGAAGAAATCAGATCTTAAATGTATAGCGATTTTGTAATGTCATGACAGTTCACCGGAAGCGTTTAGGCTGGCTGACTAAAAACTGAAAGTCTGTGTGCATATACCCCATTTGTTTGGCAACTTAAGAAAGACTATAGCAAACACAAGCAAGCAGATCCAAAGCATAGTCCTTCCAGTGCTCTCTTCAAAGCCAGACCTCTTTCACAAAACATGAACACACACACCAAGAGATAAGTCTGCATAACGTCAGAACGAGAGGAAACACTTTCCTTCAGATTAACTCATGTTTCTTTTACCAGTGAAACAGCACTAAGCACATGCTGCAGTTAGCATTAAGCTAATTTGTAAAGGTACACAAATACAAATCTGTCAACTTCATTGCCATTACTTGTCTTACTGCTATAACATGACATTATTTTAAGATATTTTGAATCCTTTAAGTTGCCTCCACTGTGGAAATGCAACAGCTGAGTTAACTCCCCTTGCTCTGTTTTATCAGACGTTTTCTGACAATTATTTTTGCAGACATATATTTAATTTTATTGGTTTATAAGAAGTCTTTTTTTCATAGTTTTACTGTGCCAGTTGATGTTGGGGCAGGAGGAATGTAACAAAGCTGCTGTTTGTCTTCCATTCTCAGTCCATCTGCATATGGTGATCAAACACACTGATAATGTGTGATTGTGTGAGCAGTGTGGGCGAAGATATGCAAATGGTAAGACATCCTACAATTGCATTTATACACGCACACATGAACACATACACACACACACACGCACACAGACACACACAGACAAACACATACACGCACACACACACACACACACACACGCACACACACACACACACACACACACACACACACACACACACACACACACACACACACACACACACACATTTATATATATAGAGAGAGAAGATTGTTTCAGCACATTTCTAAGCTTAATAGTTTTAAAAACTTATTTCTAATAACGGATTTATTTTATCTTTGACATGATGACATTAAATAATATTTTACTTGATATTTTTCAAGACACTTCTATACAGCTAAAAGTGACATTTAAATGCTTAACTAGGTTAATAAGGTGACCTGGCAGGTTAGGGTAATTAGGAAAGTTATTGTATAACGATGGTTTGTTCTGCAGATTATCGAAAAAAAATTAGCTTAAAGGGGCTAATAATTTTGTCCCAAAAATGTTTTAAAAAAAATAAAAACTGCTTTTATTCTTGCCGAAATAAAACAAATAAGACTTCCTCCATAAAAAAAAAAATATTATCAGATACTGTGAAAATTTCCTTGCTCTGTTAATTATTTGGGAAATATTTGAAAAAAATAAAATAAAATCAAAAAGGGGCTAATAGTTCTGACTTCAACTATATATATATATATATATATATATATATATATATATATATATAAACAAAATTTTTAAAATGGAAACGTGAAAAATTGGAAAAGACATAAAAGTTTCTGCTCACTTTAAAGCAGAAGTCCGATTGTATATGCAGTACAATATTGCAACTAGATGAGATATGTGGACTAAAACATGACCCTGGCATCTGTCTTCTACAACTGTTCAACTACAAAGGCTCTTACTCTTAAACCATTAACCAAAAATGTGGCCTACTAAGACACTGTTCCTTAACCCTTATTTCTAAACATTTGTAGGCCTGTATTCCAGCACTTCTCATGTTACCTTCTACTCAAGACTAGCCACTTTGTTCTTGATTTGTAAAGTGCTTTTGATGAATTGCTCTAGATTGAAGTTTCTGCAATCTAAATGTCAAATATACAGTAGCTTAAAAAAGACGTGCTATAAACGTCCACTGTTTTGAACAGGCTATAAAAGCCATTATAAACTCACAACCTTTGACTTCATGCTTTCTCCAACAGAAAATGGGTCAAAGCAAAGAGAGACACTTTTTCGCAAAGAGTTTGGTTTCTTTATCATATTTAACAAGGTTTCTGTCTCTTATTTTAAATGATCAGCCTTTCCTTTACTTAGGTTAACCATAATAAAACCCTGGCTCTGCTTTTGTCTTTTGCCATATATGGTTAAGTCTTGGTCCCTCGTCCTCTCTGATTTCTGAAAAATGCATGCAGCTAAAGAAAGTGGAGTACTTGTTCACCTAAAAAGATACATTAAACAAATGGCCAATGTCAGAAAATGCATGTATTATAATATAATATTCAGTATATTTAGCTTTTAATCTAAATGATTTTATCTATTAAAATATTATATTGGTGACTGATTTTAAATGAGTTTTCTTTCCTTAAGTCTCAGAGAACACCAGAAAATGGCACATTCTTTTTTCCACTCACAGTCTTTGTTTATAGTTTGTCATCCTGTTATTCGCATGTTTTATTTTTCAGCACTGCCCATTAAAAGCTTTTCTTTTATGGTCCATTACATTAAAATGAAAGTGCACAAAAATTAAATAATATTAAATGTTATCTTTTATATTTATTTGAAAAAGTATGCGCAGGACAGAACGTACAAGCTTTACATGTGCAAAGATAGTGGACATTGAGGGTATGCATAACTGAGGGTATAAGAACGAGATAATGAGCAACTAAACAAGACACAGGTGAACCTAATTATTGGACCAATGACTAAACACTGAAAATACAAACATAAAAAATGGGAACAAAGAAAACAGGAACTAATGCCATGGTCAAACGCAAGTTTGAGCATGCGAAATTTGTATGGCACTGCAAAAAGGGACAGAAGTAAACAAGATACACAATTTAAAAACGTTAGCAATTAGTCCATACTTAAAATTTATGTCCAGAAAGGTCATGTTTTGATCTTGGATTGGTCTCATACCGTCATGTGATGCGATTTCACAGGTCAGAGTTCACCAAGCTTGAACTTTGCAAAGCAGCGAACTACGAAACTTGTCGCATGAATTTGCATTTCCGTTCTTTTTCATTTACTTGCATATGAATGGAAGTCTATCGGACAAAAAGAGCAATGTGACCGCGGCTTTACATTGACAATACAAACGCATACATCATTTTACACTGAACTGCTGAAAAAAACCCATAACAAACTGAGGGTTGTGGCTAAAGTAAATCTGAGCTCGATATATAAATAAATTTCAGTTTGCTTTGTTTCAAATGATTATTAAACATTTTAATGAATATAAAACCTACAGTTAAGGGAAAAAATTAGGAGACCACTTGAGAGAAAAATTCTCAGTTTCTCTGGATTCTCTCAGTTTCTATTTTTTTCTATTAAAGTCTTAAAATTAACTTCAAATCCAATTTTTGAAAAATTGTACAATTTTGACGCTATAGCAGTTATATTCAAATATTTTAAATAATTTATTTATTTATTTATTTATTGTGATTAAAAATATGGGTGATTCCACCATAAATTATGATTAGGGATGCAATATATTGTTTCAGCCTCGATATCGTAATTTGTGCATCTGCAATAGTCACATAGCAGGATATGCAATGTTGAGTCTGAATTATAGTTGACCAGGAGCAGTAGAAATTTATCTATATGGAATTTATAAAATTTATGCAAACATTTTTGTTTTGTTTCTAGTCCAAATATCCACATTTCACGTTTGTTAAGATTAATATCATGGCAAATCAGTCAATACAGTTCAAACAAGATATTTTACCTTACTTCTAAACACTTTCTCACCTCAAACGCAAATGAGGGATAGTGGAGTGACGGAAAAGTTTCTATATAGTGCAGTCTCTATTGAATGCTTTTGTTATTATAGCTGTTAAATGTCAACCTGAGGTCAGTGTTTGTGTGTTCTAGACTCTTTGACCCTGTTCTGTGCTGTGACCGTCTTCCTCCTTAGTTAGTAACAGCCAATGACAAGCAAGTGCTCTCACTCTCTGTCTTCAAACCTGCACACACCCACTCACACACTAGTTGACTGACAGGAGTTTTGCAAGGGTTGCTCGGGATTTTCCACACCTCAGCTGACTTTTTACACTCATGCCATTTAAATGAAAATGCTACAGAGAATAGAAACTGAAACAGATAAAAACATCGAAAACAGAAAGCAAGTCGCGTTTCAAAACATTGTTGCTCTCGCGCTTTACACCACGCAGCAATGCTCTTAATGGTAACCTTCGCTTTTCTTGTCGCTTTATCCTGGGCTTTTCCAACGGGTAAGTCTTTCATCCTCTTATAGCATCCTCATCTTATAGCATCCACCGAGAAGTGCTGTTATTTTGCTTTCGTTATGCTATTTTATGCAAATCATGATTATGATTTTTTTGTCATCTTGGCTACATTGTTGTCAAGCATTAAAGCTGCTCGGTTGCTGATGTTTTTACGTCTAACATTAGATCTAGTAATTCAGTTCGAGCGCAGTGTGGTGAACGGGACGGTCGTGGAGAGGATCTTTGTCAATGATGCACATTTAAAGGGACACCAACCTGTTGTCAGACCCATTCAAGATGAAGTCCTAAAGACGATGGTGGAGAATAGTCACAAAACAGCAGGTAAATTCTAATACTGCAATGGCGATTCATCTTTTTTTCTTGTTACGTTAATATCATATAAACTCATATATATTAACGCTAATGGATATATTACGCTTATATATAATAGGTCAATATTTTGTCGAAGTGTTGATTGTCTCAAAGGCAGTTTTGGGATTGCTTTATTTAAGCTATTTAAATAGGTCACAGAAATAAAAAGTAGAATTTATATATTTGTGTGTGTGTGTGTGTGTGTGTGTGTGTGTGTGTGTGTGTGTGTGTCTATATATTCACATATACATGAATACATACATTTAAATTGATATTTTAATAGATATACAATATTATATCTGTGCATTTACATTAGATTGGTAAGTACTGAAGCCAAATGTGGAGCTAATCTTACAAAATAACTTATGATAATGGTCCAAATACTCCAGCCAAATTTATGTTACAGCAAAAAGCTAAATACAAATTTTAAAAATAGGGAAAATCAAGAGAAGCAAAAAAATGACATTTAGTTGAAATTTTGTAGGCTGTAATTGTTTTTTGCAATATTTTGCTTGAATTTAATTGTATTATCTTTCAAATTCTAAATACGTTTGTTGACTAAAATATTATTTTAATAAATATATCAGTTTAATAAATCTGTTTTGTTTAATTGCAGCAAAATACTTTGCCTAAATTCACAAATGGGGTGCGCTCCATTATGCTGAGCACTATATATATATATATATATATATATATATATATATATATATATATATATATATATATATATATATATATATAATAGGCAAATGCTTGTAAGGTATGTTTTGATGCTGGTTTTGCTAGTTTCAGTCCTGGTCTTATTGGTTTCAATACTTGTTTAGCTGGTCTCAGTGCTGCTCTTGCTGGTTTTAATGTTGGTCTCATTGTTGATCTTGCTGTTCTCTTTAAGACCAGTAAAACCAGCATTGAAACCAGCAAGACTAGCATTGAAACCAGTGCATATAAACAGTATAATTAAAGCATAATTAGTTAAATAAAAATTAAACATTCTCTTAATTTCTTTGTTTCCTTATCACTACCTATTCTAGATTGTATTTTCCTAGCCAATGGGTGAAACAATTTTTTTTTTTTTAAACTTATTATATTTGCCTCAATAGGGTGATTCAGTTATTTCAGTATTTTCATATAAAGTTGTCTGCAAAAACAAATGTTGTGAATAATAATTATAAATATTAAATTCATATCTTTGTAGTCTACTTATTCAAAGCTTAATTTATGTTTTTATATGGAGTTAACTTGTTAACAAATGTTTGGCGGCAGAACCACACCTCAGTTTGTCTCCTTGACCAACCACCTACTCCCTAAAACTTGTTTAAGGCAGACCAGCCCTCTAGCACTGTTTTACTCATTCTTTCTAACCCACCCTCCCTCTATTTCCTCACTTCGCATTCACAATCACTCTACCAAAATATTATAGAGATGGTTCTTTCTGGGAATCATCGTAGGACGCTCGATCAACCTACAGTACCTACCTGTTCACTGTTTATCCTCTTACCTCCCTTCACTTTCATTGTTCTCTCTTACCATCACCTTCATCCTTACATCCTTACAATAAAGTTTAGCTCATAGTGTGTCGTGGTCCATGCTGGGGATTTATGTATTTAAAGCATTGTTTGCATACTCAAGACTGAATACTCTTAATAAAAATACAACCAAACTCATTATCATAAAACTATTATATTATATTATATTATATTATATTATATTATATTATATTATATTATATTATATTATATTATATTATATTATATTATATTATATTATATTAGTTATTCATTATTTTATATTGCTTTTTTAAGAAGTTTATTTAAATGTATCTAATATAAACTCTTGTTCATAAATGTGTTAAGAATTAGTTTACATAATAAAGTGAGTACTTATAATTAGGAAAAAAAAAACGAACGACTGGTACTTAAAAAGTCTGTGTACTTATAAAAAATACATAGCAGTTTACTGTTGTGCGAACAGTGGTGTATTGCTGCTGTTTCATCCTACTTTTTAGAAATTAACCAAATGGTTTAATTTATAATTATTTTATAAAACCAAGTTTTAGTGATTTAAATATTGGTTAATAATTGTCTCGAAGCCACTCTTTGACAAAAAAAAAATCCATCTTTGTTTTTCAGGTTATGCCACTTATATACGCCTGAGAGAATGCAAATTTCGAGGATATCAGGTCCTGCAACTGTCCGACCGGTTTCAGCTCGATGGCAGAGATTATCTGATATTAGATCCACAAACTGATTCTTGGATAATGCAGATGCCAGAGCTGCATGATCTAAAGCAGCCGTCAATGCCCGAGGCCGAATCTACGAGTCTGGAGAAAATTCACCTGAAAGACGAATGTGAAGAATTGATCAAGGAGATGAACGACACTCAAAATCAAGAGGGTAAAACGATTGTGATTTTATTTATTAGGATGATATTTATTGATGCAGCATGAATACTCAACTAACTAATTCATACTTTTTAACAGAAAAATGATTTAGAAGATTTTTAGAAGAAATTGCTATTTCAATTCATAAATATTTACAAAGAATCATTAGGATGCAGATTAAATTAAACATTACCTTTTTACGAAAAAAGACTAAAATGTTATTAAAACATTGTTCAATGTTACTATAAATATACCACAAACATCTTTGTTTTACTTACCATTTAAATAATAAAAAAAATTAAGTGCAATTTGAAGCACATAATAATTGTTATTTTTTTTTTTTTTATGTAGCTTTTCACTGTTACATCATAGTTTTGTGGATATCTCAATTTATATTTTTAAATACTGATTAAATAAAATATTTAATATAATATAATATAATATAATATAATATAATATAATATAATTTAATATAATATAATATAATATAATATAATATAATATAATATAATATAATATAATAATTCCTTTTATGGTTATGAAAGTCTTAGGTGGAGGCCCATGTCTGGAATGGTATTAAAATAACTATATTAAAAAAATCCACAGATTTATGTTTTAAAACACTGTGTTTATATGTCATAATTCGTTAGATTTGGAAGATGACAAAATTATGTTAAAATCATTGTGATTTTTATATATATATATATATATATATATATATATATATATATATATATATATATATATATATATATATATATATATATATATATATATGAAAATAATAAAAAACCGACTTTGAGTTTGTCTTAAAATCCACACATTTTCCTCAAACAGAAAATCAGAATTGTGACTCAATCATTTTCTCAAATTACTTTTTCATTTTTTTTTTATCCTGCACTAGAAACTAGAACATTGTCTAGAATTTATTCCTTATGTTCAATGTATTTCAGGTTTTGATGTGCTACGCGTGATTGCTCCAGTTCTTTCCATGTTTTTCTTCGTCGGATTCATCTTTATAAGCTTTCTTATGTTCAAACGACATGGTAAGCAAAATACTGCAGTCATATGCTGTCACATGATGTGTATGTTTGTAGAAACACCCTTGAAAGCCTGTAAAACCACTGCTAAGGGTGGAAACTGAAAAATATGATTTGTATGTTGTCATTCATGTTGCAAGAGCTCACTCTCTTTTCTTTGTCTTGCTCTTTTCTTTGTCTTGCTCTTCCTCTTTTGAATGATGCAGGTCAACATCCAGGAGGTGAGACGTTTCACTTTGTTTACCGAATGCTATGGCTGCAATATAAAGGCCGAGGGAAGATTAAATATTGACGGTGGTGGTAGAGCTGTCACTCCCGATTAGTTACAAAACACAAACATACTCTAGCTCCTATTACCCTAGTTAATAAGAAGCAATTTTCACCAAACAATGCAACAGAATGAATTCTCTCTTCTTTGTCATAATAAATTAATAATATATATATATATATATATATATATATATATATATATATATATATATATATATAAATTATATACACACACACATATATATATATATATATATATATATGTATATATATATGTATATATGTATATATATGTGTGTGTGTGTGTGTGTGTGTGTATATAATGTGTATATATAAATAAATTATATATATATAATGAAGTAAAAAAACAATGCATGTTAATTTTTGTACAATGTTATGTGTATATATAAATAAATTATATATATATATATATATATATATATATATATATATTTATATATACATTATATACACACATATATATATGTATATGTATATGTGTATATATATATATATATATATATGTAGAACAAATAACATTGTACAAAAATTAACATGCATTGTTTTTTTACTTCATTAAAAGCAAACACAAAAAACTCAATATCAGATGGATTAAAATAATAATATTAATAATAATAATAATATAATTAATTCATAAAATAAAAACTTGCAACTAAGAAATAGAAGGTAGAAACACCAGAAATGCTACCAAAATGTATTTTTTTAAAAGTAAAACTAAAAAAATAAATATTAAATCACTGAATTTAGAGCTGTTTAAAGATGTTAAGAGAATTTACGTTAATATCAACTATTCTGGTCACTTATTATAATGTCACTCTCTTATTTAAGAGCAGGGCGAATGGATAACCAATAAGCAAGGTAAGCCGCCACTTAGGGCCCCAGGAAATCTGAGGGCCCCTGAATAAATACCTAGAAGTAAAAATTATATCTATAAATTATATCTAACATAATTTTCTACCTTATTTGCATGATGAGTTTAAAAAAAACGTAATTAAAAATGTAAAATATTTAATTAAAACATGATCAAAACCTACTTAAAACTATAAAAATAGTTTATATATTATTTTAGTTGTGAATTCATTTTAAGAAAATAAATTAAAAGTGTTAATTAAAAATTTGAAAAGTTTTACAAGATTCTTTACATGTTATTATTAATAGTTTGCATTAAGTCAAAATATAGAACAGGGGATTAAATAGTTGTTAGAAAAAAAAACAGCAAAAGAAATCAATTAAAGGATAAATAAAAGTACAAACTTTTGGGCCACATGGCTGGAATTGCATAGGGCCCCCAAATCACTAAATCCGCCCTGGTTTAAGAGTGTCTGTTGTTTGAGCATAAAAAAGCACAAACTCAATCTGAAGGCAATCAGTTTTGATTTATAGTCCTTTTTTTTCAGAAGGTGTACATCACAATCTTAAATGGTTGGCATCCCAAACCCCTTAATTCATCTTCAGAACACAAATTAAGACATTTTGGATGAAATCTGAGAGCTCCTTAGACAGCAATGCTCCTAACCCATTAAAAGTCCATAAAGGTACCGAGCATCAACCTCAGAACAGTCCTTCAGTTGATGAATTGAAATAACATTAATAAACATTAATAAATAACAGTTTTGTTTAACGTTTTCTTCTTCTCTGTGTCAGTATAAGCTGCGCATTTATGATCACCGTTCACTGATGTATAGTTTTGGAGAGAGTTACTTTTGAAAGTTATGCATTGTAATATTGGGTTACTCACCCCCAAAAATAGTTGTGTTACTTACATTCTTATGAAAAATTAAGTTATTTTTGGGTTACTTTTTCTTACGTATTTCTTTTGATTTTTTAAGGGAGCTATACAATTAACAGCACACTGTATAACCTTTATTTACCTTCTTAAAAAAAAAACTTTTAAAGCTTTTACAACTTTCTGACCGCAGAGCTTTGCATGCCATATGCAGTTTTAATGAAAGTTTAAAGTTATGTGTTTGCTACTTTAGTTTGTTTTGTCTTATTAGTTAAGTAAAATCACTGTACATTGTGACTAATCCCTTTTCCTTTTTTAAATGTGTTTAAATAATGACAATGCTTCCATCATAGAAATGTAAAGCTCTGGCCTGTTTTCTTTGTTTGTCTGGGGGAATGGGGTATATGCCGAAGCATGCTAATAGGACTTTTAATTTGCCAGTAACCTGGGTTAAGTGCTTCAGGCGAATTGAATGCCAATGCAAAATCCGGTGCGTTTAAGGTCTGTTTTCTTTAAAAATCAGCGATCTTCACTAGCTGAGTGATATCCGATTTAAAGTGGGTCTTAAATTGTACAAGAAGCACTGCATTCACTTACAATTCCACCGCCACCTGCTGTTTCTGACGGGCGCGTGCGAGTAAACAGCTTTTTGTCTCGTTTTACGCTTGAGCAACTTAATAAATGCTGAAGTTTATTTAACTGAATGTATTTTAATGACATTACAACATTGATGCTGTATTAGGAACCGTATAAAATGGTAAAAAGTTCACAATAACAGGTCACCGGGAGTGTATCAGCATGGGAACTGCACTAGCTCGGCATATACCCTATTCTTTTATTGAGTGTGGAATTCTATGGAGACCCGGAAAGGACGTGATGGTGGGAAAAAAATAGGTGAAAGAAAAAAAATTGGTGGAGTGATAGGAAAACATATTTTAAAGTTTTTTTTTTTTTTTTGGCGTTTTGCTGTTTTGTTTTGGTTCCAGGTTATTTATTTACCATGCTATTTTAAGTTGTCCTGTCCTGTCCTGAGGAGTCTGCTAGTTTCAAGCATGTTGTTGAGACTTAGAAATAAAAAACAAATGTTAAGTAAGGGCATAAGGAAAATTATGCCTCCCTTTTTAAAAAAACTAAAAAAAAACTGTTTTAAACAATAAATGCTTAACGCCGCATAGTCTGTCCTCATTTCGGAGTGTAGCCTTAATATAGGCAAATGGTAGTTATTCTGACAAGAGACACAGTTGTTGTTATTTTTAGTTGCTTTAATAGTGTGGACCACAATTTTCTTTTTGATGTGAAAAAATTCTTTTTGATCCAGATTGAACAGCTCAGCGGGCCGGATTTGGCCCGCGGGCCGCCAGTTGATGATCAGTGGCATAGGGTGTGTTTAGATGATTTTGTGTGTAGTAGTTTTGAACATCTCTGGAATGTTGCTGGATACACAAGATGAGGGAGCTCTCAGATTTTATCTTTTATCTCCGTGTTATTAATAACATAATTTTCATTTTTAGGTGAGCTAATCCATTAAGAATTGAAAGAGTGTCGGAAGCACAAGCTATAAAGTCACCGCCCTTTTCTATAAAGGAGGTGGAGCAGCAGCTCATTTAGATTTAAATGACAAAAACAGCATGTCTTTGCTTCCACCTAAAAAAACTTCATTTACAGCATGATAAAATAATTAATCTGTGAGGTATTTTAAGCTGAAACTTTAATGATACAATCATAGGACACTTGATAATTGCAGTACATCTTGTAAAAGAAATGGCATTATAGGACCCTTTTAAAATCATATTCCAAAAGTTTTTTTTTTTTTTTTGAGTGATAGGAAAACACATTTTAAAGTTCTTTTTTTTAATTCCAAGAATATGAGTTAAAAGGATATATTTGAAACATTTAATATCAACCTTCAAATTATTCAGTTTAATTCACCTTTATTTGTATATCGCTTTTACAATGTAGATTTTGTCAAAGCAGCTTCACATAAAGATCATAGTTAAATGATTTACAGTGTAGTTTGTTTTTCAAAGTTCAGTTCAGTTTAGCTCAGATCAGTGTTGTTCAATAATCACTACTGAGAGTCCAAACACTTAAGAGCAATCCATTGACGCGCAGCTCCACAGATCCCAAACCATGCAAGCTAGTAGCAACAGCGGCGAGGAAAAAACTTTACCGATAGGGTAAAGTGAAGAAAAAAACTCGAGAGAACCAGGCTCAGAAATTACATCTATTGACCATTTCAATGTGGTCATGTCCTTGGCCCATGAACATTTCCTGCTTATCGAGCTATTTCATAGCTGTAACAAGAGACAATTCAATCCTAACTTCTTGTTAAAACAGATGTCATAACATTATTTATCAATATGTGACTCTTATTGGATTCTCTGAAGCTATAGAAATTATAAATGCATCCCAGGAAATGTAATGGGACCATTTTTTTTTTTATTTTTTTTTTTACATGCCTAAAAATAGTCTGTTATTGATCTTGTTTGGTTAGGATCTACTCGTAAACTTACTAGTCTCCTGTCTGAAAAGCTATTACCAAGTCATTTTTCAGCCATACTAGACCAGTACTTTTACATATTTCTAAGGTTAACATATGCAGATGTGTAATTCTATACCTTTTCCTTTAGGTGTTTTAGGGTCAATTGTCCACTATCCACCTTTTCATACAGTGCCTTCGGACGGACAGAGTCAAAAAAACATTGATCAAGTTCCTGTGCTGAAGTGTCCACATTAACAATTGTCTAACCAGACCAGCCCAACCACATTACTCCAAAAAGAGTCCAGTCTTTCTCCTGAATGCACAAGTCTTAAAGAGGTAGTTAAAATTTTAAATTCTGTAATCATTTAACCATCTTGTTCCAAAACCCAACTGAGCTTCATTCTTCTGTTAAACACAAAGGAAGATATAATGAAGAATGTTGGTGGGAAATAAAAAACTGTCATTGACTTCAATAATATTTTTGTGTTCCTACTATGGATGTTAATGGCTGCTTTTCCTCACATTTTTCAGAATAACTTGTTTTGTGTTTGACATTAGAACGAAAAGTTTTGAATCACTTTAGTGAGATTAAAAGGTGAGGATATTTTCATTTTGGGTGAACTATCATTTTAAGGACAACTCACAACTTTCATCAGAATATACTGTCAAGTTTTGTTGATCATAAACTCACCAAATGACAACCGACAATGACAAAAATCAAGCAAGCACAAACTAGGACACACTGATTCATCAAAACACTGGTTGGCATCTGTTAGCCGTTTATAATGCATGTGAAAGTTCTGAAATCCTATATATATATATATATATATATATATATATATATATATATATATATATATATATATATATATATATATATATATATATATATTGTAAATAAATATTCAGTGTTCATGTAAATGTCTTTACTTAATTATCTTAAACTAAAGTTATTGAAAAAATTGTGATAATATATTAATCAGATATTGTTGAGGAATGTTCTTGCATTGAGTTTCACAGTAATTTCTGGGCCTCCAAAAATAATTTGAGCTGTTACTGTATATTGTGTGTAGTTGTAATCATTTTATGCCACTAATTAACGCTTTACCCTTTCCTTTTGTAAGTTTATTTCCCCACGCTGTTTAAAATGTTGTTTTTTGTCCAAGTATTGTGTAAAATAGCTAAAAACATGTTTACCAAAATATTTTGCTGTATTTGACACTAGTTCATGCAAAAATGCCAAAAGCAAATGTGCAAATTCAATATTTTTTTCTAGTCTACACTTTTATTGTTATTTATTGTAATTTTCTGTAATAAAGATATTGAAAAAAACATGACAGAATGATGTTTCTGTTTTACAAACAGTATATTCTACCCCCTACTCCTTAATATAATCATCAGGAGACAATCTGCATTTGTACATTTTTCAAATGCTTCATCCAGTGTGGTTTATAAGCATGTTACCCATTGGGACACAACTGTGGATTCAGGTTTAAGTCCCCACCAGGATATAAAACAAGTACACACTCACATACACGTACATCTATTTTTATAAGGTCATCCTATAGACATAATGATTTTCATATTGTACAAACTGTATTCCCCAGCCTACCTCTAAACCCAAAAGTCACAAGAAATAAAATCTGCATTATACGTTCAAAATACATTCATTATGCGTTAATTTTGAGCCATTTCTTTATTGTTACAAAAAATGTCCCCACGAGGTCAAAATATAATGGTGTTTTTATACCTGTGGGGACACTGGGCCCCATAAACACACAAGGTATGCACATGCCCACACACATGTACACAGATATGAAAATAGTATGGGACCACTTGACAATTCCGTTTCACTGGATTTATTTGATTTATGTACGTTTTAACATTTATTCATTTTCTTTGCTTAGTCCTTTTATTAATCGGGGGTTGCCACAGCGGAATGAACCACCAACTTATCCAGCAAATGTTTCAGCAATTGCCCTTTCAGTCGTAACCCAATACATTACGGGCAATTTAGCTTATTCATAGCTTATTTATGGCTTTTGGGGGAAACCAGAGCACATGCAAACTCCTCACAGAAATGCCAGCTGACTTAGCCAGGGCTTGAACCAGCAACCTTCGTGCTATAAGGCGACTGCGACCTACTGAGGCACCGAGTCCCTAACACCCTATGGGTTAAAATAAAAATATTTTCAGAGCATGTTGATAAGAATAACAATTTTTATCATTTGGTTTGATTGACAATTGGGGTTTTACACCAAATATGTAAAGTGTGTGGATGAATGAATATCAACTGTGTCCGTTTAAAAAGATTGCATGTTTCAATGAGCAGTGTACTTTTAAATACTTTTATTTTTACTGCTAGGTAAACCTTGAAGGACTAGTTGACAAAATGTACCGCCGGTGAACTGCACTTCACCTTGGCCAAGAGTGTCGGAATGTTTTCGTGTCAAATGGCCTCTTCTCTCACATTACATCACACACAGCTCAGCCCTAGCGGTGGGGTTTGTTTCTACCGGAAGGCTGTTCTGGTCGTAATAGATTTTGGGCAACATTAAACGAGTTAACTTTAAAAAGTACTAGTACATTTTTTAGAAATACATTTGTTTATTGTTTCATGGCGTTCGGTTAATTTAATAGACGTGTTTTAGTGTTTTATGAGTGACGGAACGGCGTTACATGAGGTTACATCATGCGAGTTTCCACACGGAGGTTTTATTAGCTGGACCGTAACAGCTCATACAGAAACAAAACCGACTAGCAACACCAGTCTATGAAATTCTGATCACCTTGACTTCTGCATAGGTTACTTCATCACTATTTTTATTTGAAGACTTACACGAGACGATGGGAGTGCCTAAGTTTTATCGATGGATATCAGAGCGGTATCCGTGTCTGAGTGAAGTTGTCAAAGAGCATCAGGTGAGCTAGTTTGGCTAAATATAACAGGCCGCATAGAGATCATTACAGATCTGAGAACAGAAAATCTGCCTTTACACTTTACCAAGCTACAAAACACTACAATTATTTTGCCTTCGCCCTTAACATGTTACGTGTAAAGTAAATTTTATCATTTTATAAAAACTATTTTTTTCTCCGATGTACAACAACATAATGACTGCTTCAAAGATTTTGAGAACTGTCTTATCTAGTCAGACAACATTTTATGATATGAAGCCTAGAGGTTATGGCATAGAGGTAAAGTTGGTTTTATATTCGGATATTCAGACATTCTTCTGAACTATATAATTTCAGAAAAGTATTCTTTGCAAGTTCTAAATAGGGAAACCATGATAGCAGCCAATGACTATCAAAGTACAACATTGTTCACAGTGAACTCGATAATGTTAATGTTGTTTAGAAGTCATACTTGCATGCTAATTCCGATCGAATGTTCAAAGTAACATGGTAAACAATATGGAGACTGCTTATTGAACGAATGTGTAAGTATAAAACCAACTTTACCTCTTCTTACTGGCTAGGTTTTTTAAACACGGGTTTTGTTCTGTATTCTTTGTTTTTATTGTGGTAAACTAGTTATAGAGACGAATTTGGAGATTTCTTGTCAATAGTACAGAATAATTGTTAGCTTTTCAATTTCATTTGGCTACTTTATTTTTTTTCTAGTCATTTTTTATACACACATAAACACACAGTGCTCAGCATAATTGAGTACACCTCATTTTGAAAATAAATACTTTTGTCCATTTCTCAGTGATTATAGGCAATGTATTTTTTAATGCGTTTAAACGAAACAGATTTATTATTACAGATATATTTATTAAAATAATATTTTAGTCACCAAACATATTTAGAAATTAAAAGATAATACAATTAAATCCAAGCAAAATATTGCAAAAAGAACAAAAAACAAATTACGACCTACAAAAATTCGACAAAATCGTTACATTTTTTGTTTGCTTCTTGATTTTTCCTCCTTTTAAATATAGTAATAAATATTTTTGTATAACAGAAATTTGGGTGTACTAGTTTTTGGACAATTATCGTAAGTTATTTTCTTAGATAATCCCCAGATTTGGCTTCATTACTGACTAATCTATATATATTTATATATATATATATATATATATATATATATATATATATATATATATATATATATATATATATATATATATATATAATGATAAAAAAAATTAGCCAAATTAATTTAAAAAACAAACAATTATTCTGTACTATTTACAAGAAATGCCCAAATTCAACACTATTATAACTAGTTTACTACAATAAAAACAAATAAAAAAGAATTATATAATATATTATTTAAATTATGTTTTAAATGGTATTAATAAATTTTTATTTACATATTTTTAGAAATCTGTTCTTTATCTTTTATACAAATACAGATTTGTCAGTTTTTGAAAACTGATTTTTCATTTTTTTGCTAATTTAAATTTTATATTAATAAACGCTTGACTTTAAATGTTAATGTATATGGGATAAAGATGAGACATCCCTTTTTTGTTTTCAAATATGTTTGAAAAATTGTTCATGTACGTTTAAAAGAATAGACATTTCAAAATCAACGCAAAACAAAAATAAAGTGTTTAATGTTTCAAATACATTTTGTGACGATAAAGTGTCAAAAGATGAGAGGCTGTTTTACATAATAATTTTATCAAAATGGATACATCTATGCCAAAATTTACCCACATTCTTATTTGCCCCTGTTCTTATCAAAATATCTGAGAGTTAAATGGTCATTAATATGTCTTTTCAGGGTTCAATGCTAAGGATTTTTTCTACTGGCCCAATCAGATTTATACTTGCCCTGACAAAATTTTTACCGACCCCACCAAAAATGTAAAAAAGTTATTAGCTATTTCTTAGCCACATATTTTAAATAATGTGTCAAAAATAATGTCTGTGAATCTAAAATTAAAATACCTAAAAACAAAAATGCTAATATATGTATAATGAGCAAAATACATGGTGTTATGCAAACAAAAAAAAGCAGTATGGAAAATGTGCAAGTATTTTATTGCAGTAATAAACTAGGGCTTGACGATTTGGCCTAAAATCTAAATCTTGATTAATCGGAACGTTTTAGCTCGATTACAGTTAATAAACGATTATTTTACTTATGGTAAACAAATATGTGATAGTTATCATTTTTGTCCCAGAAAATTAAACAGAACTTAAATGTATATATAAATGACCATTATCATGTTTGTATTGTGTTGACTTCGCTTGCAATCAAATTGTTATCTTAAAGTTGCATCTATGTAATGCAGTTGAAGCTGTTTTTTCAATTATCACTTTATTGTTTGTGACATTATTAGGTTTTGTCAAGATGACACAAGCTTACATGTGTTCTCTCCACCTTCACAGATCCCAGAGTTCGACAACCTGTATTTAGACATGAACGGGATCATCCACCAGTGTTCGCACCCAAATGATGAGGATGTGCACTTCCGTATTTCTGAAGAGAAGATATTCGCTGACATTTTTCACTATCTGGAAGTGCTCTTTCGCATCATTAAGCCAAGGAAAGTGTTCTTCATGGCCGTCGATGGAGTCGCACCCAGAGCCAAAATGAACCAGCAGCGTGGGAGAAGATTCAGGTATAGCAAAATCTAGAAGCTGTCGACATGCTTTAACATGTTATAAGCATGATCTCTAGTACATTAAGATGTTGCTAAAGTGTTATTTTTATCACATTGCTGTAAATTTATTTTAATTTTAAACATGTTGCTCATGTTTTAACACATTACTAGCATGGTATAGCATATTTTAGAATGATTATTGTATGTTTTAGCATGTTACTAGTAGGTTTTAACAAGTATTAGTTAACATAGTAATAACAACACATATTAGCACATTTTAGCATGTTTTAACACACTGCTATCGTATTTTAGAGTACTGCTATCATAACGTTATAGGTTTTGTCATGTTAACATTACTAGCGTTTTTTTGTTAATATGTCGATAACATGTTTCTGGAATGTTTAAAATATTGCTAGGACGAAAAAAAGTGTTAGCTTGTTTTAGCACCTAAATTAGCATGTTGTCAACATAACTCAAGCAAGGTTAGCACAATGTTTGCATGTTTCTAGTGTGAGGTAACATGTTGCTACCAGCATGAATTAATGTTAGCTAATATGTTTCTTGCCTGGTTAACATCGTTAGCATTACTAAAAGTTGTTAGCATGTCCTAGACTTGTTACTCACCTTTACTAACCATAGTAAACTTTAATATTTGAGTCTTTTGACGCCGTCAGTGAAAGTCTATGGGATTTTCATAAGCTCTTAAAGCCAACAGCTCATTTAGAAAGTCACAACTCACAACTTGTTTGTGTGTGTTTTAAAGGTCAGCAAAAGAGGCAGAGGAGAAAATCAAGAAGGCCTTGGAGAAGGGAGAAGTTTTGCCCACAGAGGCCCGATTTGACTCTAACTGCATCACTCCGGGTTTGTGTTCATTTATCGCTTACATATTGTCTTAGTGATGTCAAATGTATTATTCATCATTATCTGCAGGGTACATAAAAACTTCAGACTATTGATTTTGTTATGGGGATTCACAGTAGCACTGTAATAAAGGGAACTGTTCTCTCAATTAATTAATTGCTTATTAATGTGCTTGTTATTAACATATTATATAATGTGCTTATTATTGAAATATTATTTATAACATGGTTATAAAGTGCAAAGTTTGCATGATCATATTCTACATCCATTATCTTACTTAATATCTAAATTTCACTACTTAATAAGCAGCAAATTCTGAGTTGATTAAGGCAAAACTCATCATTATTGTTTTGTTAATAGTGAGTGAATTTACCTTTAAAATAAAGTCTAAACAAGTTTTCTTGAGGATCTTAACCTTTATTTTATGTGATTGTTGTAGGAACGGATTTCATGGCCAGGCTACAGGAACAGCTTAAATATTTCGTTCACAATAAACTGTCCACAGACAAAACATGGCAGGGAGTGAATGTGTATTTGTCTGGTCATGAGGTAAGTTTGCATGACTTCAGAGCTTTATATTTATATGTGTGTGTGTGTGTGTGTGTGTGTGTGTGTGTGTGTGTGTGTGTGTGTGTGTGTGTGTGTGTGTGTGTGTGTGTGTGTGTGTGTGTGTGTGTGTGTGTGTGTGTGTGTGTGCACGTGTGTGCACGTGCGTGCCCTTCAGTGAAATTAATTTGACTTTTATTTCTCCACAGACCCCTGGTGAAGGAGAGCACAAAATCATGGAGTTCATTCGCTCTGAGAGCACCAAACCGGGTCATAACCCAAACACAAGACACTGCCTTTATGGCCTGGATGCCGATCTGGTGAGTACAGTTGCCAACAGGGTTGCCAAGGGTCCATGAAATCTTGTGGAAAGAAAAAACTGAAAACAAAATGTTGAGGACCTGGAAAGTTTTCAAACAGAATCCTGGATACAGGTCCTTTAAAGTGCTTATATATTTTGTGCTAGACATTATCTGATAAAATAAAAATCTAGATTTCCCCCTCTGGTTACATGAGGCCAAGCTCTTATTAAAATATTTATGTAAAAATCAAAGTGATAGTTCACCCAAAAATTACAATTCTGCCATCATTTACTGTCCCTTGAGTTGTTTCACACTTGTTTGAGTTTTTTTTTTCTGTTAAATACAAAAGAAGATATTTTAAAAATTGCTGGAAACCTGTGGTCATCGACCTCCATAGGATTTGTTTTTTCTATCATGGATGTAAATGGGTACAGGTTTCCAACATTTTTTAAAATGTTTTTTTGTTTGTTTGTTTGATTGTTTGAACAGGGTTGAAACAATTAAAGGTTAATTTTAATTTTTTGTGATGAATATTTCTTTAATACGAGATCATTCTTTCGGTTATATGTCTGCTATTATCTTGTCTGTTGTGTGGCCAAATGCATTTTTTTTTGCACAGTAGTGTTTGACAGAAAAAACTATAACACTGTATTTAACACAGCAGATAAACACCTCAGATCAATTAATGCTAGAGGATAGACAAGTTGTTGGCAATGTAGATTTTTTTCACTTAGAAAAACAAAGTGAAGGTATCAAAAATTTAATTTGTAAATTAATTTGGGAAAACAAAAATCAAGACGCTTCCCTGCTGTTTTAAAATAAAATAGGATGAAATATTATCCACTATATTTGCCTGTTTTGTTTTTGTAATTGGACTTGGTTATAGGTAATATCAGTGTCCTATTATTGTATTTGCCAAAAATCAATGAATGATATTTATTGAATCTCTGCTTAATGATGATTTAGTCCATTTCAATAATTATATAAAATTCAGCAGTTATTACATGTGATCAGTTCAGCTAAGCTATAAACATCTCTGCAGAAAGCAGCAGTGTTCTAATTCATTTCAATAACAATGTTGATGTTCGTCAGTTATAAAATGTAGTCATTTTATCAATAAAGCAGCTTACAGAAGAAAGTTGCGGCATCAATTAGTTCACTTTTTTGTTCATATTAGAGAGTTTTTAGCATAATTAAACATTTTATTGTTTTTAAGCTGTTCTTCTCTTCTTTTTGTTTTTAGATAATGCTTGGCTTGACCAGCCATGAGCCTCATTTTTCTCTCCTCAGAGAGGAGGTTCGCTTTGGAGGCAAAAAGTCACAAAAGAGGTGAGTGTGTCATTATTTTCATTGTGTTGAGTTAAAAGTTTTGTGTGTTCTAAAATTTTTTTGTGTGTGTGGCTGCCATTGACAAATTACACAAACTGCCACTAGGTGGCAGCAAATTGCTCTCTAAAAGGAATAGTTCACCAAATTTTTTTCAGTATTTATTCACACTCAAACTTTTATGAAATTGTTTCATCTGTTGAACACAAAACCGGATATTCTGAAGAATGTTGAGGGAAAAACTGCCACTGACATCTACAGGAGGAACAAAGCATAATTGAAGTCAATCCCAGTTTGTTTTCCAGCATTTTTCAGTATAGCTCCCATTGTGTTCTTTATGTTAAAGAAACTCAAACAGATTTTGGAACAAGTGAAGCATGAGTAAATCAAGAATTTCTTTATTTGACTAAAAATGGATGATTAAATGGATGCTTCCCCCAAAATTAAATGTTTACTCAGTATTTACTCTCACTCAAGTAGTTTCAAACTTGTATATGATTCATTATTCTGTTGAACACTAATGGTGATATTTCAAAGAAAACTGAAAACTGGTAATCCTTGATTTTCATAATAGGAAATACAAATACTATGAAAGTCAGTGGTTACCGTTTTTGTTTTTTTACTTTTTTTTTTCAAATTGTCATCTATTCATCTATAACAGCAGAAATAATCTCAAACAGGTTTAGAACAAGTCAAGGGCAAGAAAATTACAACAGAACCTTTTATTTTGGGTGAAATTTTCTTTTAATATGATTTGTTCAAAGCTACAGATTAATTTAGCAGGGTTCCTGCAGATCATGGAGTTTCTAGAATATCATGGAATTTTAAAGATCTGTTCCAGACATTAAAAATCAGTAAACTTTATTTTTTTTTGCTTGTTATTTAACATTATCTTTACCTTTTATCAAAATGTATTTTATCCATACCCTGTTTTTTTAAAATGCTAGTTTAAACATTTTTTTTTAAAGTTGTTTCATGTGTTTTGGCTATTGTTGTTTTTAAGTTATTTTCCCAGCCATTGCATTCCTTTCCCAATAAGCAACCAGCAGTCAAATGCAAAGGTTGTAGCTGTTAAGATACAGTATGTGTTTTTTTTTCCTGCTCAATGCTCAAACTGTTCCTCTTGTATTCTGTGGGGGAAATTTCAGATTATCGTGGCTTATAACAACCTTGGCATTTCTTTGTTGTGGTTTCTGGGGCTGAATGTGCACTGCCACAATGTCACATGATGTATCTAAAGTGGGTCAACACCTAAGGAAGCTTGAGATATCCCACACTAGATGAGCACTTTCTATATGCGTATATAATCTTATATATAGCACAAAACTTATCAATAGTGTCCTGGCTGGCCAAAATCTATTAGAAATCTCCTCAAAAATGTTATTTTATGTTAAATTTGGCATTCGCAAAATTCTAATGAAAACAGCTGCCATTTTTAAATTAATTATAGGTAATGGAAATCATCGTTTTAGTCGGTGAAAATCAGAATGTTTTTCACATTTTGGTTTTGCTTAGAGTGGGAAACCTGATATAGAAACAAAGCAGATGACTCTTTTTACAAATGGACTTTATGAATCTCTGACTCAGTTGTTTAAAAAAATTGTTTCATTTAGACCACTACAGTACTGTATTAAGACATATAAATGTTCTCTCTTGGCTTTGCTTGAACTATTTTCATTAATGTATATCACATCATCACAAATAAGAAGCAAAAACAATACAGGGGATATTTTTGCTTTAATAACTTGAATGAAAGGGTATTTCTAACTTCATTCCAATATGCTTGTGTACACACATGGTTTTAGACTCCTGGGATTTGTATTTGTTTTGTGTGAAGTATATTTGATCAATATTGTACATATATAGTTCTAACTATAGCATGTTTTCCTGGTCTGTAGGATAACAGCTCCTGAGGAGACGACCTTTCATCTGCTTCATCTCTCCCTTATGAGGGAATACATTGACTATGAGTTTTCAGAGCTCAGGGTGAGAACACATAGCTATCACAAATCATGCTAAAATGAAACTAAAAGTATATAAACCATTTTAAACTGTGAAAAGTGTAAAATGCTCTCAGTGTGATTTGCATTATTTTGAATCTTGTTTTGTTTGCGTTTGCGTCAGAAAAAGATCTCATTTGAGTATGACCTGGAGCGGATCATAGACGACTGGGTTCTGATGGGTTTCCTGGTGGGGAATGACTTCATCCCTCATCTTCCTCACCTGCACATCAATCATGACGCACTCCCGCTGCTCTATCGCACCTACATTAATGTGCTGCCAAGTCTAGGAGGTGAGTTGACCATCCGCTGAACACAGAAAATGTGTTTATTTTGGTGCTTTAATACTGAATTAGTGCTGATTGCTGATGTCATCGTCAGGATACCTGAATGAAAACGGACACCTCAACCTCACCCACTTTGAGAAGTACCTAGAGAAGTTATCAGATGTGAGTGTCGAGTGGTAATTTACAAGTTATACACAAGTTAATAAACAAGTAATAAACGCTTAATGTCACATGACCAGTTATTAATAAAAATTACATTTTAAATATATATATATCTATATATATCTATATATATATATATATATATATATATATATATATATATATATATATATATATATATATAAAATTTACAAAAAGTACTTACTATATAAATTACTACACCCCTTTTTAAACTTATTTGAACAATATTTTATCCATTTCTAATTTTTTAAGTGCACCAAAATGATTGGCTACATTCAAAGCTGTTTTATTGAACAGTTTTATCTGTTAAAATACGAGTTTGGTCACCTTACATCTTTAGGAATAAAAAGATAATATTATTAAGTTCAAATGAGTTATTTCTAAAAAAAAAAAATACAAACTACAAAAACTCAACTAAATTTATTAGTTAATGTTTATTAATCAAAATATTTATTAAAATTGTATTTAATATTTTCCTTCAAAAAACTGAGACTATAGGTCTAAAGTTTGTTAGATTATTTCTAGTGTTGCTTTTAGTACTGACTAATTAACGGTAAATATGCAATTGTGTATGTTTATGTGTTCACATCAATTAAAAAAATATTTAAATATTAATAATAATCCTTTGAAAATGCATAACAGGACTGTAAAAGCTATATAAAAAATAGTTTACACAAAAAAGAAGCAGCATGACTGCTCAATGATAATATTAATAAAGAGTATTTCTTGATCCGCAAATTACAACAATTTCTGAAAGATTATGTGACCCTCAAGACTAAAAATTCAGCTTTGCCTTCATAAAAATAAATATAAAATAAAAAATAAAAAAAGAATCATACCAATCCTAAACGTTCGAATGGTCGTTTGTGTTTGTTAATGTTTCATTATATTGGTGCATATAATTGAACAACAGGATTTAACGGATTTTGTCAATTCAGATTACAAAAAATCTGAAATTTGAAAATACATCTTTCAAAATTCAGCCTTGTAAAATTAAGTTGTCTTACATTTCAGATGTTCAATATTCAAGTTATGAAATTCAAATTAAGAAATTCAAATTCGAAACAATTTTAAACAGCATATAAAAATTCTGATTTATTAAATTACAATTGTCAGTAATTCAGATTAACACGATTTAAATTCAGATTGTTTTGGCATGTTATTAGCTCCATAGCCATGGGGTCCAAGTCCTGAAATGCACTGTTTTTACTGTTATTAAATTTTTATTTAATTTTATTTATTAATTAATTTATTTATTAAAATCACTTAATCTTTTTTTTCTACATTTCATCTTAATGCAAGTTCTAAATTTTTAATTATTAATTTTCTTAAAATTAATTAACAGCTAAATTTATAAATATATATTGTTTATAATTTACTGGTGGATATTTTATTTTATAATATTGTGATTACTTAACATTACATTATTATAATAATATAATGTTTTATTGTATATTAAATAATATTTGATGATGTAAAAAACGTTTGACTCTCACTATACAAAATATGCTAGAAACGATGTTATATATAGTTTTATAGGTATAATTTGCTTATTGGTTAAATCTGTCTCTGGCTGGGGTTCAGACCCTCATTTAGACTCCAAAATACATATTATATCATCTTAAACGTTGCAACTGAAATAGTTGCATCAGGTTTAAGGGAACTTATTTATCTTTTTGTTATATTATATAAGAAGGGGAACTGTAGATCTGTCCACTTCAGCTTGAACATGTTGTCATCCTCTACTTCGTTTTCAGTTTGACCGGGAGCACTTCAGTGAGGTGTTTGTGGACCTGAAGTGGTTTGAGAGTAAGGTGGGGAACAAATATGTGAACGAAGCTGCGGGGCTGGCAGCTGAGGAGGCTGATGGCAGAGACTTGAAGAAGAGTAAAGTGAGTATTAGATGGAACACATATCCAAGCACACTTTATGATGTGATTTTATTTCTCTACCTCAAGATTATTAAAGTTCTGCATTTTTAAATTGGTTCTTGTTTTGCTTTTATTTTAAAATGTAAATTTGTTGTACATTTCAGTTTAGTATTTGTTTAATGAATGGTTTTGTTAGTTTTAGTTTAGTTTATTGTTAACACATTACTGTTTAGATTTTATATATTTAGTTTTAGTAATTTGGGTTTAAGAGTTAACAGAACATGTCAACTGTGGAACAGAACGAAGTTTAGTGTTGCACAGTTTAAATGAACTCTTGCGCAAACCTCTTAGTATTAAATTAAATTGTTTGAACTAACACTGAATCCAAAACCATATTAATGCAAGGAATACTATGAAGAAAACTTTTATAAATTCAGACAAACTTATTAATGTAAGTTTAATCCAAATTTACGTTGTTCATTTTGCTAGCTCACTTTGTTATTCTTAAGGTGAAAGAATTATTTTATTGAGTTTATCCACTAAAAAACGTGAAAACTATGAAGAATTCAGACAAACTTATTTATATTAAAGATCATACTATATGTAATTAAGCTAATACCCTCAATTGGGTAAGCTGAATTGGCCGTAGTGTATGTGTGTGATTGTGTATGTGTGTTTCCCAGTAATGGGTTGCAGCTGGAAAGGCATCCACTGGTCAAAACATATGCTGGATAAGTTGGTGGTTCATTCCGCTGTGGCAACCCCTGATTAATAAAAGGACTTAGCCGAAAAGAAAATGAATGATTGAAAGATTAAAAAAGTAGCAATTAAAATAATTATGTTTAAATAGCAATTAATTATTAGTTTGTTTTTCATTTACTGTTGTTAGTTTAATTTTTTTATTATTTTTTCTTTCACATCACAATACTGTTATTTTACCAGCAGTTTTAATTTTCATTTACTAAAATACCTTGCTTGTCATTTTTTCCTATACACATGTAACATCATAGCAAGCAATAGGGAGCATGTCATAGAGGAATGGGCTGCTGCAATTGACTCCGACCATTTAGTCAGATTCAGATCTAGTCAATAGATGTCCCTTATCTAAATGAACATTACTGTTTCTGCTTTCTCTTTGTTTTCCTTCTTTATTAAATGAACGAGAATATTTTTTCTTGGTTTGAGTTTTAGTAGTGCTGGCTACACTTTTTTGCTTTTGGCTTCTTAAATAATAATTTTATAATCAACAACAAGAATCAGTCCAAGGCACTCGAATAAAGTGAAAAAATTAAAAAGCCTTTATTCACATGGCTAGATCTCTAAAAACCAACGCGTTTCGGCAGAAGTCTGCCTTCATCAGGGTAACAGTGATCAGGTGCGTCTAGAGTCTCTTTTGAGTACTACGGTCACATGACTCATTTAAACATCTCAAATGGCACTCAAATAATTTAACAAGCAAACTCTACTACCATAATGAGGTTTTCTATAGATGCTTTACAGATCGTCATTATACATTGATGTATGTGTTTATATGTATGTATGTATTTTCCATGTATAGGTATATGTATATATTGTATATATGTATGTGTATGTATGTATGTATGTATGTATGTGCACATATATATATATATATATATATATATATATATATATATATATATATATATATATGTATGTGTATATATGTATGTATATATATGTATATGTGTATGTATGTACATATATATATATATATATATATATATATATATATATTCTTTTTTCTTCTCTCTCTCTCTCTCTTTTCCCACATATGCAAGTGGGTGTTTGTGTATCTATGCCGAATTTATGATGGTAGTAGAGTTTGCTTGTTAAATTATTTGAGTGCCATTTGAGATGTTTAAATGAGTCATGTGACCGTAGTACTCAAAAGAGACTCTAGACGCACCTGATCACTGTTACCCTGATGAAGGCAGACTTCTGCCGAAACGCGTTGGTTTTTAGAGATCTAGCCATGTGAATAAAGGCTTTTTAATTTTTTCACTTTACTCGAGTGCCTTGGACTGATTCTTGTTGCAGATTTGATGAATCTCTTACCCAAAGAGCACCGACCATACATTTGAACTTACCCCAGAGCGCTTTTTGTTTTTTTTTTTCTGAAATAATTTTATAATGTTTTCATATATAGGCGATGCTTCTTATATGGCATTTAAACATGTAAAAGACCAAGATAAATGTTAGAATAATGACAGAGTGTTTTTTGTGTTTGTTCTTTTTGTGTTTAGTCTTCAGACGACTCTCTGTGTCTCGCGGCTCTTGATGGAGTCAGAGATTCTCACAGCACTGCAGGAAGAGGTACACAAATCCAGACTCCACATATTGTTAATAACTGTTCTAGATGCTTTCATGAGCGTAGCCAAAAATGTATATTTTATAGTCATTTGCTTACCTTCATCTATTGCGTCATCTAAAAGTACATTTAGATTTGCTCATCCTCCAAACCGGTTTGAGTTTCTTCTGTACACTAATGAAGATAAACTGAAGAATGTTGGAGAAAAGCAGCCATTGACTTCTGTGGTATTTTTTGTTCTTAATGTATATGCCAATTGCAGCTTTTTTTCCTTAACATTCTGCAGGATATTTTGTTTTGTGTTCAACAGAAGAAGAAAAAAAGTTTAGAACGAACTGAGTAAATAGTGAGGAAAGTTTTGTTTGCCCCTTCAAAGTGTTTAGAGTTTGCAATGTTTATTTTGCTAGCTCACATTTTCATGCTTAAGGTGCAGAACTAATGCATACATAAAAGTTAGTCCACTTTAAAAGTTTGTTTTGGTAATCTTTAAACAAAGTCTGTGCATTTGCTTCTGCGTTTGGATTGGCGGTCCTTATCTGTTGATATCAGTTTGACAGTTTTAGCCACAATATTCTTAGCCACGCCCCTTAAACTGTTTGTTTGCTATGAGGGAAAGCAAAAGCTCTGCCCCTACTCAGAATTCCATTTCAGTTGGATGTACATCAACATACTGAAATAAAAGCCTCAGCAGCTAAATTTGGCTTAATATTTCCCACAATGCAGCAGAAGGCGCAGAGGAGGACGGAGAGGACGATGACATGTTTGAAACAGAATTTCGACAATATAAACGCACCTACTACATGACCAAAATGGGTGTTGAAGTCGTCTCAGAGTGAGTCTCCAATCGCTTTACCTTTGGCGAGAATGAAATGTGTGTTCATGTTTTCTCTTTGCTCTGAAAATAAGCACACTTTTGAAGTCTCGTTTTCTCTGTGTTCATCTTGCAGTGAGTTTTTGGCCAATCAGGCTAAATGTTACGTAGAGGGAATCCAGTGGATCTTGCATTACTACTATCACGGAGTTCAGTCTTGGAGCTGGTGAGCAGAGAGAGGATTTATTGGAGTGAATCTAACATATAAGTTGGGCTGCGCAATTCAAAAGGCAAAAAAATTGTCTGATTAAAGTCTAAAGTCTAGTCTTTAATTCACTTTTAAATCATAATTTGTCTAATTGGTGTACACCAGGCATTATGCTTTTTTTAAACAATATTGCAATCAAGAAATTGAAGATTTGATAGTCTTGGACCCGGCACTGCTGTGATCATCATTTATTATAATGGGCCATATTAAAGAAAAATAATATACAGGTGTATATATATTACACATCTTTTACTCATTAGCCGCATTTCCACTATCGGGCCAGTGCGAGCCAGGGCTTTAATCGGGCCGGGCCGGGCCAATAGCCCGGGAGGTTGAGAAATGAGGCTAAAATCATGTCGCGTTTCCACTGGCGGGCTGATAGCTCACAGCGCGTCACGCAAACACCGCCCACAGAACGTCCCCGAATCAAACGTCACACAACCCGCCCACTTGAGCGGGAATGAGGCAGACAAAGCACACCATAGAATCATCACGAAAAGAAACCATTAAAATGAAGACAACCAAAACAAACAAATGACACGTTACTGTACAGCAGTACACGAAATGTCTTTAACCACAGACCTGTGTATTTCCATTCATTACATTTGTTCACTCGCCGACCGACTGTGCATGGAGTGCTCTCGCCAAACGCAGGGACCCAACACAGAGAGCGCACATATCCATAATATAAAGCCACAGAAATTCTCCTTTATAAATCTATATGGCATGTATTTTTTAACATCCTCGTTTTGGTAGAAGTCGTGTAAAGTTTTCAGCACAAGAGCGAGTAGCCTAATAAAATATAGCCATATTTGTTGCGCTCGGCAACTATTCACTAAAACTCTTCATTTAAAGTTTCATTTATAAATTTAACCACGTCATACAAAAACATAAACAGTTGTTTGAGGATATAGAACACATTTTGTGTTTGGGCTTTCCCCCGATGCGTTTAAAGCAGCGAGTGCTGCGCAGGACTGAGTGACAGAAAAAAAAGGTATAGGCTAGATTCTGCTTTCACTCACCCAAATAATGCTCTGTTTGCGCGATTTGATTAATATCATCGTGTCCAAATACTTTATAAATATTTACTTATATAAATATTTACTTTATATAAATATTTCAAACCTTCTCCGGTGTTTATTGTTTTTAGAAAATATCGAAAATCTTTTTTTTTCAGACAGGTCTTTGTAAAATGAAAGTTAGGCTATATATGGCTTTAAAACGGTTTGATTTATGTATTGTATATAGCCTACCTACATTGTTCTAGCTAGCTTTTGTTTATTTTATATTGGTTTATTTATTTAATGTCATTTTATATATATACGATATTTGTAATTCTTTAAATTATATTTCAATATACCTTAGGCTATTTTATCAAGATATGACACTATATTGTTTAAAGTCTACGAAAGTAGGCACGTATTTTGTTAAGTTTTATGTCTTTCTGTTGTATTTATATTGTGTATTATCTCCAAAATAAATGAAGAAAAAAGCCGCTCGCGGCATAACAGAGCTGTGAAGGAGCGCTATTGCCCGGTCTCACACACACACACAGTCTTCTAAACGCGCACAAATAAACATTTTAAACTTGACAAAAACTCTGGAAAACCTTTACTGTCTGCTGTGTTTTTAATATGGTGTAAAGCTTATTATGCGTTATTGAAACATAAAGGAGGACGCAGCAAAGAACTATAAATTAAAACTACTTTATTATTTTATGCAGCAGCCTTACATTTAAAAGGGAAACATAAGGGTGATCATACGCAAAAAGACCCCAGACTATAAGGCTAGATGTTTTCTTTCCCTTATTTCTTTATTTGTTTGGCGCATGTACTCATTTGCGATCAGAAAACTGCCCGCCTCTCCTTTCACTCCGCCCCGAAGCCCCAGCTGGCCCTCCTTGGCCCAAGGTATTCGGCGGGCTGAAAAAGGCCGGCCGCTGGCCCCAAGAAAGCCCCGCTTTGGCCCGATTAGGCCCCGGAAGTGACAGTGGAAACCCCACTGGCCTTGGCTCGCCCTGGCTCGCTCGCTTTAGGCGCGATAGTGGAAACGCGGCTATTGTGTACGGTTTTGTTAGGGTATACGGTATATAGCCTTATGTGCAACAACAACAACAATATATGAATGTTTTTGCTCTACTGGTCAAATTAAATTTTTGTTTAAGTTGTTTAAGACCTCAATTTACATTTCCAAACATTATTTTGTCATTAGTTGTTATAATACAGTGAGATTATTGTCTGCACAAGGTGTCTGACAACAGCCAGTGCTCCACACAGAGATCTGATCTGATCATTGTCAAGTCTGCTTGAAATAACAAGAAGAAACCGTAGAAATTGAGACAAACGCAATGTAAAAGAACTTTGGCCACATCTCTATGATGTTTACAAAAAATCAAGCTGCAAAGCAACAGTAGTGTTCAAAGTGTTCCGCACTTGTGCAAAAATGCTATAAAATAAGGATGCTTTAAAAAAATAATATGCAAATACTTTTTATTTTGTCAGTTCACTTATATCATCTAAATCAGTGGTTCTCAAACTGTGGTACGTGGGCTTTCTTCTAGTTGTACGCGGAGGAATCAAATATGTCATACTGTATATACATGCAAAATATATTCCAAAAGTCATCACAATTGATTTATATATGAATATTATGATATTTAGCATATATTTATGAGGTCCAAGCTACATTTTCAGGTTTTGATGAATAGGCTAATACTTTACATTAAAGTGCAGGAGTTTTTTTTTTTTTTTCTTATTTACTTTTTAACAGTAGTCTACCATTTTTATTTAACTTTTAAAAGTACATTTTAATTAAGATGCTAAAATTGTTTTGTTTGTTTGTTCGTTTGTTTGTTTTTTACCTGTAAGCACAGTGCAGTGTTAATGTTCAAAGTATTTTAATTGTGGCTGATAATAATAAATTTTATTAATAACAAGAATTAATCTCCCTGGATTTTGGAATTGTAGCTGCTTAATTAGGCCTACAACGTTACTGTATTTCAGTACTGCTCATTATGGTGGTACTTGGAGAGAAATTTTTTTCTGAGGTGGTACTTGGTGAAAACAGTTCGAGATCCGCTGATCTAAATCTAATCAACATTTGCTAGGACCACACTTTGCATTTAAAACACTTGGTACACATGCCAATAGTTTTTTAGTTAGCAGGAAGGTATTTGAAGCATCTTAGAGAAATTTTCATTTAGTAAAATATAGAATAACCGACTTTAAACCTTTAAGTCAAAATACTAGTGGCCTAAGACGTTTACACAATACTGTATATATTTATTAACAATATAGTTACATCTTTTATGGCTGATAGTAATATATTTTATTATTGCAAAATAAGACTAAATATGTTAACTTCAAAGAATATCGACATTTAGACTACTTATGGTTATAACATAAACAATTGACCTAAATAATGGAATAAATAAGTGGAAGAATTAAAATGAGAAAATAGCATTTTGTTTGTTTGTTTTATTTAAGCTATTTAGTGTGTCATGAAATGCCCAGATGACAGCACAAAAGATAAAATGACCTTTACAATCTAATAGAAAACACAATCAACAATAAAATAAAGCATTTTGGATCTCACTCTGTGTTTACGGCATTGTTGTTTAATGCTAAATTAGGATAATGTTGTGGACAGTGGGACAATTAATATAACTTTAGACTAAAATGTCTAAATGCATACACATTAACAAGAAAATAGTTTTCAATAAACTATATTTAAATTCATACACAATACACATTATAATTAAATTGTAATTATTAATGTCAGCACCCCCCCCCCAAATGTCAGCAAAGCCAGCAAATAGACAATGTCTCCTATTCTGCCTTTCGTCAGATAAAAAATGGATGAGAGAAAGCTCCTAAATATATATTTCATGGGCTAAAATGTAGATGTAATATAAATGCAGCATTTTCTGAAAGCTCAGAAATTTTCTGTGCTGCACACGTGTAAAAGAATAAATGCAGTGCTTCACTTTGACAGTCATTATGCAGGCCTACTTAAACGTAGCAGAAACATGTATTAATAAAAGAAATGTGTTGGATTTTGATTTCTGGTTAGACTAAAAGAAACATTTGCTTCTCTTAAATCTCTACAGGTATTATCCATACCACTACGCTCCTTTCCTCTCTGACGTGAGGAACATCTCTGGTCTCTCGCTGACCTTTGACCTGGCCAAACCCTTTATGCCGTTTGAGCAGCTCTTGGCCGTCCTGCCATCAGCCAGCAAAGACCTTCTTCCTCAGTGCTACCAGGTGAAACACAAGCTGCGTCCCAAATCGCATACTTATGCACTATTTTACGCCATTTTGTAGTATAAATAGTGTAAGTAGTGTGTTCACATTGAAAACTCTCAAAATAATAAGTGCACTTTAATTACCCGGATGATGCACTCATTCAGCCGCTAAAATGAAGTGTGCAATGATGGACACTTCACGCACTCAACGACCGCAGGTTTGCTTACGTAGCGGAAGGGGCGGAGCGATCGGACGCACATGTTGAATAACTTTATTTATTTTGGATAGTGAAAGCAAAATTCTCCTACGAGAGTGATTATAGCGCCTCCGGATGGTAAATGCGGTAATACTCACGGCAGGTATTACTTGATAATTCAGTCGTTTATTTCACTGATTTGGCAACAGTCAAACGTCATCAGGGAAACGGGTTGAATTTCCGCTTAGTAAAAAAACATTAGTGTGCCATTTGGGACAGCACTACATACATATACTATCCTGTTGAGTGTGTAAGTGCATAAGTACATAGTGCATGAGTGCATAGTGTATAGTGTGCCATTTGGGACGCAGCTACACACTATACATCCTCTTCACATCAGTGATAAGATACTGTATAACACTTTTTTTGTCACGCAAACTAATTTGGGTTGGTAGATTTCAATAACAACACGCCATTTGAAAGATTACAGTTTTATTTTTTAGTTTGATTTCCAAAAATAATTCTCATTGTAGTTAAGTTTATTAAATAAAAATAATTACTTACCTTTAAATTGCGCTTTTCTGGACACTCAGTGCACTTAACACATTTTTTGAGGGAAATCTCCTTATCCACCACCAGTGTGCAGCCTCCACCTGGGTGACACAACAGCAACCATATTACATCAGACCGCACACCATACTCTTTTTCGAAGGACATCTTGGGATTTTTAATGAACACAGAGAGTCTGGATCTCTGTTTAACGTCTCATCTAAAAGACGGCGCTTACTGAGCAGTATATAGTCCCCAACAATGTACTGGGGCGTTAGGACCCACACAGACTGCAGGTTGAGTGCCCCCTGCTGGTCTCACTAATAGCAGTTCCGGCAGCAACCTAGCTTTAGCCATGTGGTCTCCCATCCAGGTACTGACCGGGCGCACCCCTGCTTAGCTTTAGAGGGCGACCATGTGAAAATTACAGAGAACTAGCTGCTGGCTAACAATGGCTAGCTGGCTTGTTGGCGGTTTAAAATGATAATAAAGGTTGTTAGCTAGAGGTTGCTAAAGTTTGTTACCTGTGTCTCCACTTTTGCCATGGCCTCTTGGTTTTAACAAACTTATCCTTCAGGTTATTCCAAATCTTTTAACAAAAACTTTCTCCTTTCCCACAGCTGTCACAATTTATAGCCAACAATTATTGATCATCTGGTTATCTATATGATCACAGATAATAAAGCTGTCTGTACAGTCGTACTGTTTCAGACAAAATCTCTTCAGATTGTTTCATATTCAACTCAAATCAAACATGACGCCATGCACACTGTGTGCTCAAGTTATTTTTTTTAAAAATGCCGTGCACACCGCTAGCCGAAATCATGTTGCGCGCACCCATAAGCGAACAAGCAGATTCGTCGAGTATAAACCAGGCTTTAATCATCCTAATGTCATTCTAATTCCCTGAGACCTTTTTTCATCACAAAGATCGTTTAGATGAAATCTGAGCGCTCTCTCCTCCTACATAGATGGGAAATATGACACTTGCATTTTGCGCTGCTGACTCAAATGGCTATATGCTATACTGCAGGGGTGCATAAACCTGTTCCTGGAGATCGACCTTCCTAAAGAGTACAGCTCAAACCCTGATCAAAGACACCTGAATCAATTAATTAGGACCTGAACAGCACTTGATAATTACAGGCAGGTGTGTCTAATATGGGTTGCAACTGAAATCTGCAGGAAGGTCGATCTCCAGGAACAGGGTTGGTCACCCCTGTTATTCTGCCTGTAGTAAAGATGCATTTAATTTTTTGGCACACAAAATAGTTCATGGAGCTTTGTATGATTACAATTAAACCATTGTAGTCACATTGAATGTTTTTGGCGTCTTTTCTTGACTTTAAACATCTCTGGACTGTTACTGTCTATGGAGAATGAAGAAGCCATCCTATCCTAACTTGTCTGATGATTTAAGGAACAATTCACCATATGTTTTGAAAAGGCTTCGTTTTGCCAGTCTTCTTAAGTTGAAGCATTTTTGAACCAATTCAGCTGTTTCCTTGTTCTGGCGAGGTACATATTAGCTTAGCATAATTAGTTAAATTAGATTTGACCATTAAAATTTCTTTCAATATAGAGTTTTGACAATTAGCTTTTTTTAAGCTCAAAGACTTTGTAGTTACTTTATGTACTAAGGCCAAATCTCTCAAGAGATCCCTGCTGAAAAATCCAGCTTAAACCAGCCTAAGCTGGTTGGCTGGTTTTAGCTGGTCGACCAGGCTGGTTTTTGAGGGGTTTTGGCCATTTTCAGGCTGGTTTCCAGCCATTTCCAGCCTGGTCTTAGCTGGTCACGCTGGAAAATGACCAGCCAAATCCAGCTAAAACCAACTTGAACAGCCTGTTTTAAGCTGGTCAAGCTGGTTTTAGCTGGTCATCTCCCAGCCTGAGGAGCTAAGACCAGACTGGAAATGGCTGGAAACCAGCCTGGAAGTGGCCAAAACCACTCTAAAATCAGCCTGGTCGACCAGCTAAAACCAGCCAACCAGCTTAGGCTGGTTTAAGCTGGATTTTTCAGCAGGGATTGCAGGGACTTGAGAGTAATTAATAGCAAAGTTGTATTTTTGGGTGAACTAACCTTTTAATGTCATTTAATCAATTGGAGAAATATGGGTTGTTATTTTATCCTTTGGACCTGCAGTGTCTTGCTCTAACAGAAAGATAGCCCTATTCACCGACTCTCTGTTCCTCACAGCATCTGATGACGTCACTGAGCTCCCCCATTGTCGAGTATTACCCACAGGACTTCAAAACTGACCTGAACGGCAAACAGCAGGAGTGGGAAGCAGTGGTGCTCATCCCGTTCATTGACGAGGTGCTTTAAACATCTGCACATACGACAATTTTAACATCTGTAGTGGATGTTCTGTTGTGTGATGTTTGTGTTTGCTTTCAGAAATGCTTGTTAGCAGCTATGGAGCCCTACACTCATAATCTGACCCCATCGGAGAAGGCCAGGAACAGGCATACGGAGTGTGCAGTTTACTGCTACGATAAAGACCTGGATTATCCCTATAATTCCCCAGATCCGCAGATCTTCCCCAATATCGTCCACTGCCATGCCAGGTCAGTCCAGTTTGATAGTGGTCTTTTTTATCCCCTCACATTTGTATTGTGGGATCACACACTTACGTTTTTACTTACGTTTGACTCTTTAAAAATGTAGTCATTAAAAATCTCTGGATGTTTTTTAAAAAAGAGAAAGGGTTTAACCCCGGCATCCTGGCCAAATTCGCCCACTGGCCTTTGTCTATCTTGTCTGATATAGATACGGACAATATTAAAAAGCCAGGAAAAAACTGCCAAGAACGCACACAACGGATGTCTGTACCTAAAAATGTCTGATAAATAAATTTGCAAAGTCTAAAACACCTCCAGGCTCTTTTAACTTAAAGAAAAAAAATGTTTGTTCACTTTTTATTTGTATTTAGCTTTTACAAACAATAAATGTGACAAACTATTAAATAAATAAAACTCCAAGACTCAGCTTTTTTACAATATTTTTCCAATTTAACTAGAACAGGCTGATTATTCATATAATCATATTAATCAATATCATATAATCAACAAACAAACTTCTTCCGCCAGTATTAAGACAAAAATACAACACTGACTTAAGTTGCTCCTCCACCCTGTCCTTAACTTCACCATCAAGTGCAGGTATAGCCATGCGTGAATAATATTTTCGGCTAGAGAGCTTGAATCGGGGGTCGATGACTGACATAATTTTACTGAAGCCCACACTATCCACCATACTAAATGGCATCATGTCCTTAGCCAAGAAGTTTATAACAGCCCTAGTAATGTCTTTATGATGTTTAGACTGTTTGTCGTAAGGTAGCTGTTCTGACACAGCTGGTTTTGGTGTCGAGGAGGGGGATGGAGGTGATGGTGATGATGAGGCGACAGGTTGGCTTAAACTTTTTATGATGCCTCCTCTTCTGACTCTCAGTATGTTCAAATGGTGGAACAGATTTGATGTGTTCCCGCTGCTGTGGGAAGGGCTGTGCAATTAATCGAAAATCCGATTTCGATTTTGGCTTCTAACGATTATGAAAAACCATTAATCGAGATAATCGATTATTGCATCATATAGTGCCTCCTTTCCAGTTGTACACATTCGTTGCTCTTAAAAGCGCGGAAATCGCATGCTGCTGTGTGTGTGCGGCGTGCACACTCAGTCAGAAGCCTGCGGTCAGCATTTGGTCTCATTCGCAGAGCTGTGCGCACACATCTAAAGTCATCTTAACGTGAGCGCTTTAATGGTTTAATAGGTGTCAAAACGCGGTGTTTAGTGGTTATTCATATTAACCCTCATTTGTGTAATAAACAAACGAGTTGAAAATCAAAAGACATGTAAAAGAGAAACCATTAAAGTGACAGTGCGCGATATTCCTGCTACTGCCTGATTTTATCATTAATCAAACAACAAGGAGAAAATCCCTCACTGCTCTTGACTGAAGGACTTTTGTAGCTGAAGTGTTTTTCTTCCAGTGAAGATGCTTAAAGCACAGTTTGTTTCATATTTTTATTCTATTGTATTTATTTCACTTTCTTTTGCAGGGTGGAAAATAAGTGTATATATACAGTTTAAGTCAGAATTGTTAGCCCTCCTGAATATTAGCAACCCTCTCCTCCCCAATTTCTATTTAATGGAAAGAATTACATTTCCCCCCCCGGTTTCACAAACAAGGTTTAATGCTATTCTGCATGTTTGAGCTGTCTCAACTCCAAATTACTTGCAGGGAGATTTCTTAAAATACGTCAGTGTCTTCAGGTGCACACCAGTAATATATTTTTCAAAGGTCATTTTATAAATGTGGCTTAAATAGCCTAAATTATCCAAGGCCTAGTCCTGGCTTAATCTAAGCGCTGTTTGTAAAACTGGGCCTTAAATTATTTTTTTCAACTTATTTCTGAACATAATATAATCTCTTTTATAATCATTTTTAATCACTTGTTTCCAATAACCAAATTTTTTTTTATCTTTGCTACTGTATGATGACATTACATAGCATTTTACTAAATATTTTTCAAAATACAAGCATTCAGAATCAAAGTGCGATTCAAAGGTTTAATTAGGGTAATTAGGCAAGTCATTGTATAACAGTAGATTCTTCTGCAGACAATCAAAAAATATATTGCTTAAGGAGGCTAATAATATTGACCCTAAAATGGCTTTCAGAATATTTAAACCTGCTTTTATTCTAGCTAACATAAAACAAATAAGACTTTCTCCAGAAGAAAAAATATTAGAGGAAATACTGTTAAAATTCCTTGCTCTGTTAAACATCATTTAGGAAACATTTATTAAAAAAATAAATAAAAAATTCTCAGGAGCGCTAAAAATTTTGACTTCAGTTGATAATCGTTTTCAATAATCGAGATTACAATTATAACCAAAATAATCGTGATTATGATTTTTCCCAAAATCAAGCAGCTTTACCCTCTGGCACATTTTGCAGAGCACCGTAACCTGAAGTTTATCAGAACTTAAAAAGCCAAACCACTTTCACACCACTGTTTTTTTTTTCTCTCTTTTCAACTATTTCATCTATCATTAACAATTAATCAATTCATTGTAGTATCACATCATTTATTTGCATGTGCACTTTCTAATTTTCAATAAATAGATTAATTATAGTTATCATTCGTTATATAACTTATTATATAGTAATAATAATACCACATAATACACTTACAAAGTACGAATATTTAGATTTGTTATCATTTTATCTTTTTTTATTGTAGTAATAATAATAATAATAATAATCCATTAATAAATAAATAAATAAATAAATATATATTTGCTAAATACTTTTGTATTTATACATTTGTATTTACAAACCTGACAGTTAAATAAAGGCCTATTGAATTATGTTAAAAATTATGATGATGATGATGATGATGATGATGATTATTATTATTATTATTATTATTATTATTATTATTATTATTATTATTATTATTATTAACACAGCATGCCTTTATTTTACCATGATGTCTTGCATATAATTACAGTGTTACTTCCAAAATTCTGGGAAAATGTAATCATCGCTACTTATGTGTTATTTTGTCATTAATTTTAAAACTGCTATTATTTGACGTCAGTTAAGAAATCATAAACAGTGTTAAGATTGATCATATTTATTCATCATGATTTTTAAATCCCACCCTCTGTGTTTGTGCTTTTAGGCAAACACCGGTCCCGATGGATGCCTGGCGTGTATCACCTGATCATGTGCGATGCAGGATCGACAGAGGAGCGCTTTACTTCTGCGGCTTCCCCACATTACAGCACATCCGTCATAAAGTAAAGAGCACTCATTGCAATATGTCATCCAATTAAAGCGGATCATCGTCAGATCAGCACAGTATTAATGCAGATTCTCCTGCTGTGTTTCTCACCCAGTTTTACAAGAAGAAAAGTGGAGTGATGGTGTTTCAACAAAGCAGCAGAGGAGAAAACATGATCCTGGATATTTTGCCAAGCCATGAGATGGTGCAGGTGAGCAGTTTGAAATGCTCTCTAGTATCTGACATGCCCAAGGACTGCCCAAACTCGGTCCTGGAGGGCCAGTCTCCTGCATAGTTTAACAAGAAACATCCATGCAGGAGTTTTGTGGCATGTTGGAGCTCAAATCTGCAGGACGGCAGCCCTCTAGGACCCGAGTTTGGACACCCCTGTTCTAGAGCTTTTTATTTGCTTTTCATTTGATGTGCTTGAGTTCAGCCACTCTAACTGGCAGAGCTGTGAGAAAAACAAAACACTATTGACTGTTTTTTTAAGGGGAGGATTTTAAACATCAAATACAAAATGCACCTTACAATGCACTTCATGGGACCTTTAACGATCTTATGATTTTTAAAGGGCAACAATTATACCACCTTTTCATTTGCAAGATGTAATATCGCTCCTGTCAGTTTGAATCTCTGAATGTGTCTTTGAAGTTTCAACTCAAAATAATCCACAGATCATTTATAATAATTTGTTGAAACTATGATGTTTGGAACTTTCGTATAAAAGAGCTGTTTTGTTGGGAATCATTTTAAATGCAGATGAGTTGAATTTGGTCGAACTTATTAGTTGTATTTTTGTTTGTTTACTTCACACAGCAATTTTGACTTTTGGTTCCTTACCTATATAATGCCAATGGAAAGCCCCATGTTGTGGGTGTGGCTCAAAGGGATAATTCACCCAAAAATGAACATTTCCTGTTAATTTATTCGCCCTTAGGTCACCCATAATAAGTGCCTTTTTTTTCTTCAGTAGAACATTAAAGAAGGTTTTTAGCTGAATCAGTGGTGCTTGGTGATTTCATATAATGGCAGTGGAGGGTGATAGTTTTTTTTTTTTATCCAATCAAAAATAAATGTATACAAACGAGACCAAATCAATATCCAATGCACCTGATGACACACTGACATCTTTTGAAGCAAAACGATTGGTCCCTGTAAAAAATTCAAACATTTTATTATATAAGCAAGTGTGTGCTTGGACAGGAGGTCAGGTGATGATGTTTGTTGATAGATATTGATGCTTGTGTCATCAGACCTTACACTTTCGCCATCAAATGTGACTGGATTACATTTGAACTACAGTCTACTGAAAAATAAGTTCACTGAAGAAAATAAGCCACCTACATCTTGGATGACCTTTGGGTTAGTTAATTAACAGGAAATGTTTAATTTTGAGTGTACTATCCCTTTAAATGCAATCTGTCTCTCTCGCTTAGAGCAGCGGTTCTCAATCCTGGTCCTTGGTAGGACTCTTATAGCTAAATAGAAAAAAAAGAAGTGGTAATAAAAAAAATTACAAAATATGTAAAACAGGCTGCAATGATCAGGATTGAGAACTGCTGGCTTAAAGAACCAATGTCTAGTGATTGTGGTTTGGTACTGGGTGGATTTTGTCACATTTTTGTACAACGTGCATGTAAAAATGGCCAAACACCATATAAAAATTTGATTTTGCATAATAGTTGCCCTTTAAAATATAAATCCTTAACTCTGTTTTAAGGTTATGGTGCTTTGATGAGAAATTTTTGATTTATCTGTATTGCAGGTGGAAGAGGTTGCAGCGCTGGTTCTTGGAAGATCTTTGTTTGTGAACTGGCCACATTTGATGGAAGCTCGGGTTGTAGCCGTTTCAGATGGAGAGACAAAGTAAGTTTTGTTTGTTGTATTGTTATATTTTTGCTATTGCTTATTAGTAAGGTCATGTAGCTCCCTCTAAAGCGAGTCACACACTGGACACTTCTTTACATGGTTGTCTATACATTACCAAGCAACACGGAGAGATACCAAATGCATGGCCTTCTTAAAAACTGTGTTCACAATTCTGAAAGGCAAGGCTTGGTGCAGGTTGGTGCGACCGCTGTGCAATTTACCCTCTCCTTTGGTCTGTTAAGAGTGTCTCTTTGCTTTGCAGATTTTCATTAGAGGAGCCTGCAGGATCACAGGTGTTGTACATGGAAAACAATCCACCACCCACTAAAGTCAGCCGTGTGACTGATAAAGAGCAGAAGGACTGGGTCAAAGAAGTGCAAGGCCTCACAGAGCAGTAAGCTGAAACCTTTATTAACTTTATTTATTCACGTAATTTATTAACAAGAATATTTCGTACTTATTCCTTCACTGCCTATTTGTTGCATACATATTTTGGCCTACGCTTCTGTGATGTTTTTTGCTATATCACAGGAGTAACATCTGTTTAACTGTGAGTTATCAGTAAAGTGTTTTGTCCCCTTAAATATCTCTCTGTTGAGTTCACACTATATATATATGATTCTATAATTTCAGGTTTAGATATTTTTATTGAAATGCCCCACCTGTTAGACGGTTACACTAAAAAGGTGTTAATTAATTAATTTTTTAGGTGGCATTTTTCACATTATAGTTCAGCAATAACGTATAAAAAGGAATTTTAAGAATAAACAAATTACATTTATCAGTCTGTGATAAATGTATCTCCCAAAATAATAAGTGTGTTAAATATTATTGCGCTGTACAGAATGAAAACAAAAAATAATACAGAGGCACAGAACATGCTGAACACAAACAAGCTTGTTATGCTTATGTCACATTGTCATCAAGCATGATTTTCTTGAAGGAGGTGCAAAGGAAAACTTTTTTTTTTATCTTCACTTTAAGGATTGTTTGTCACGCAGCCTAATTCCTTGAAATTATTTGTTTCACTATCATGGAGAAATTCCCCATAATTGCAACACATAACAGAAAGTGCAGTAAGAAGTGAGGGACTGTCACAACATTTGCCAAATCACAGGCTGCAGTATGATTTATTTGGTTAGCATGTGATTGAGTGAGGTTTTTATTAGTGGATATGTATCAATATTATAGCATTTTATCAAAAATGTAGCATTATGCAGGATTTTCCCAGATTAGTGAAATGTGTGGCTTCAGATCTATGAAGTATACTTTAAATGCTTCAATGTAGTTTTTTTTAAATATATTTTTTTCTATTTCTACAATTGTTATTAATAAGCAATGATTCAAACAACAGTTACATCATCACCATCAGTTACAAACAATGCAGAAATAAAAGTGAAAACCCTTGCTTGATGTGGGAAGAAATGCTAGGTGCACATAATGAACAATTTTGGGATATTATTATAATAGTATAATATATAGAGAGAGTGTACATTATCACATAGAGTGTACATGCTTAAATTGATGTGCTCTTTTGTTTTACTGAGGACCATGCTGATTCAGTATAGCTCTTCATTTATTATAAAACATGGTCTTTTTTATGAAAAAAGAAAAAAATATTTTCTTGAATATTAGGTTTATGACAGTTGTTACATTTTAGATTTTCTTTTTGCAATTAATTGCTGAAGCTTTTATCACTATAGTTTATATCACATTATTGATCTATGCTGCAGAAAAAAGTTACTTCAACAGATATAATAACAAAAACATACTTGGTGTATTGCTTTATTGTATATACATGTTCAGGGTAATCAAACGTTTCAACCAAATGAAATTGCAAAATGATTATGAAGTACAATAGGTAATGCTTTACAATAAAGTCTCGTTAGTAAATGTTAGGTAATGGACTAAAATCAACAGTGAGAAAAAGCCAGATTTATTACCGTCACTATTTTAATAATAGTTAAAAAATACAAATAAAAGTTTTATTAGTTTTGGCTTTAACTTAATTTAGACTTTTACAACTAGGATTTTAATGTGTTTTAGTCACTGAATAAAAAAAGAAAGGCAGCTAAGATTAATAAAAGCTTTTATCATGAATGAAATAAAAATAACTGATGTTTAACCACTGGAGTCTTATTACATGGTGTTAAGGTACAGTAGCCCTGTCACAGAAAGTCCAGTCAATGTGTATGTTTTTGGCCGTATTACTGTGAAAATGTTCATGAACTAATGTTGAACCAATAATTAATGTGGTTAGCATTTGGTGCTGTTTGGACTGCAAATAAAAAATAAAAAACTTCACATTATTTTAAACTATTTAGTCTAATGAATATGAAATTTTGTAATTAAATAATTATAAAATGAGCACTCATGTCTTTTTTAAGTTATTAAGTTGTCAATAATATTGTAATATTGCTTTTCAGTTTTAGCAAGCGTAAAGGCATAGCAATCAATGAGACGGATGTGTTGGTTTACGGCCAGCTGCTGACAGGCAGGAAGTATGTCATCGGTCAGAACGGAAAAGTCCATTTGGAGAAGCAGTTTGCCAAGCAGGTCCTGCCCTTTCCATATCAGACCATTGTGAAGGTAAATATTCGCACCAAAACAAAATATTCATGAATAAACGTCAGCATTAAAATTCGTAATATCTAAACTCGTTAACTCTTATTTTTCAAAGTACTAGTAAACTTCCATTGTATCTGTTTTATTCCTTTTATTCTGTGAAGATGAATTGAATTGTTCAATGTTTACAATAACTATGTTTAAAATATTACAGAATATATACATTTTTTGAATAAGTGGTTAACATTATGTTCTTCAAAAAACTTTGAACAAATGCATCAATTTCCACAAAAATATCCTAAAACTGTGTTAAACATGATAATTATAACAGTCATCTTTAATTCATTTATTAGCATGATTTATGAAAGATCCTGTGACCATGACTAGACGTGACTAGAAATGACTAGACTAGAAATCATTCTGGAAGTCATCGAAGGAATAAATTGTTTTTTTTTAAATGTTTTTAAATAGGAAAACATATTTTTTAAATTCTTCATTAGATAATTGCAGGCTTGGTGACTCCCACTTTCAGGAACGATTTTTAATGCGCTCATAAATATTCTAATTTATCTAATGATCCTTCTTAATGTTTAAATATGCCATTTATTGTTGATTCATTTCAGGATATCAAGGCCTTTGATTCCTCATTGGCGCGCTTCAAAACACTGGAGGAGCTGTTTCCTCTGGGAACCACAGTCTTTATGGTTGGAAATCCATATTACGGTGCAATGGGAGAAGTACGTACAGCTTTTTGTGCTTTCGTACTAGCTCTTGGGGTTGAATGTCAGTGATGTAGGAGGTTTTCTGTTTTCTCAGGTGCAAGACTCTAGTGATGTCATCAGTGAGGGACGAGTCAGAGTGGTTTTCTCTGTACCGTGTGAACCTCAGCTCGATGCCTTAATACAGAATCAGCATGTAAGTCTTTTAGTCTGTAGTGCAGCTTTGCCCTTTTATATTACTTTCATTTTCAGGTTTTGCTAATGGTTTCTTTTTTTCCTTTCAGAAATACTCTGTGAAGTACAGTCCCGGGTATGTACTCGCCTCACGCCTCGGTATCACTGGCTACCTCGTCTCAAGGTTCTCTGGTAGCATCTTCATCGGAAGAGGATCCAAGAAAAAGTCAGCAAAATTCTTTTTTTTTTTTTAATAATAACAGTGCCTATTTCATTTGTTTTCAATTTGCTTTAGTCAATTTCTGTGTATTGATGAAACGATTAACCGATTTTACTAATAACCGCCCTTTCATTTGTCACGGTTAATCAATCGTAAAGGCTTCTCAACACTTTGTTTCTGCATGGAACATAACTGCTACAACTAAACAAAGTTATGCCAACTGTGTCCTAGTTTAAAGGGCCAAGCTTGTACACTGAGGCTAACATGCAAGCACATTGGATTAACTATGGCTAAGAATCTTAACTAATTGCCGTTCACCATGCCGTTCACGTATTGTGTCTTTTGCGTGTGCAAGTTTGTCATTTCTTTTTTTGCGCATATATTGTGCATGCAGCACAACACGCTCACACTTTCCAGGCGCACATAGTTGAAAGAATAGTGCAAGTTCAGCAAGAGTCGCATGACAAGAACTAACCATTCAGCTTCACACACTGTATAGTAATAAAACAAAATGCAGAAAAAAAAATAAAAATACTAAACAAGTTTATAATATAGTTGATCAAAAGTGCTTTTCAGACAGAGGTTCAGCAGCCTTTGACTACATTTGTTCTCTTTAAAAGGAAAATATTTAGCTAAAATGTTGCTAAGATTTACATTAGACAAATACTTTTTTGTCATGGAATTTTTATTCTCGCAAATAGCATTTTACTCCAACCCATACACCACATGCAATCCTATCTAGCTCCAACAAAAAATCCCCAAATGAAACAATCAACAGTATTCTGAGGAAACAGCTAACTTGACCCCCAACATGTCAAAAACATAATTCATTCATTCATTTTCGGCTTAGTCCCTTCATTAATCTGGGGCCGCTACAGCGGAATGAACTGCCAATTTATCCAGCATAAGTTTTATGCAACGGATGCCCTTCCTGCTGAAACCCATCTCTGGGAAACATCCATACACACTCATACACTATGGACAATTTAGCCCACCCAGTTCACCTATATTTTTGGACTTTGGGGGAAACCAGAGCACCCGGAGGAAATCCACGCGAACGTGGGGAGAACTTGCAAACTCCACACAGAAACGGCAACTGACCCAGCCGAGGCTCGAACCAGCGACCTTCTTGCTGTGAGAAACGTCAACTGACCCAGCCAAGGCTCGAACCAGCAACCTTCTTGCTGTGAGGCGACAGCACTACCTACTGCGCCACCGTGTCGCCATGTCAAAAACAACCAAATACAATTTTTTATTCATTGTTCTGTCATTTATTTTCAGTGTAAAATAATTACTTGTTTAAATGGCACAAATATTTTTTTCACTTATTTTTAAGTCGAAAGAGAAATTGACTATTGTTTGTATTATTTAGTTACTGAGCAGCAATAAATAACTTTTTGACCTAACTGCTTCACCAAGAAGAAAAAAAATGCATTGCTTTTCTTAATTCCTAATGTCGCTAGTTAACACACTCAATGCATTTTTTTTTCCAACACATTCCATAATTTATAAAATATCAACCTCTACCCAATGGTTGATATAGTGGGTTATAGTAAAAAAATACTACATATACTATGAATAAATATGAAGTGTAAGATCAATTTATTTAAAAAACAGAATCAAAATAAAACAGTTTTGAACACATCTTTATTTTTTGAAGTATGCTATAAAATATTTCAGATTCTCTGAACTCATTGTCTCGTTTTTGTTTTACAATAAGTGAAGTTTCGAAGAGGACCATGTGATATGATTGATCACAGCTGGTCTCTTATGTGTAATAATTAGTAAGCCAGTCGGATCATACCAAAAGTACTTTAAATAGCCCAACTAGGGTTATTAAATTATTATTATCCCTCATCTTCGTTTTTAAAAGAATCCCACAAGAATCCCATATCTTCCTTTACCAGGGGGAGCTCTCAAGGACTACCCTATCGTAACCCCTTACATGCTCATTGACCAGGTGGGAGCCCTGGGCTCAATTATCTTCAAGCTCAGGGTTCTCTCCCTGACGGCATCCAAACCTGCTATTATCAAGCAATATCTAAGTGTAAACTCTTGAAAACCAAAATCGAGTGTATGTTTGCTTGAATTTTTATTTAGATTTTTTTCTGTTAACCAAGAATGCTGTGTCGTGTAAACAATTATTAAAAACAGACATTCTTTATGTTACTTTAACAGTCATTATTTAAAACAATCAAAATATGGACAACCATTTGCTAGAGCAGGTAGTTAAAGGGTTAAAATAAGCTTTCGTGTGATTTTTTTTCTTCTTCTAAACTAGTAGCGTTTTGAAATTAATGAATGCATAATAATCATGTTAACCGTGAAACCTTGATTCCTCAGACTATAATCATACAACCAAAATCTATAACCGTTGTCTCCCTATTTCTATGTACTCTACCAAATCTCTGAGAAATATTCTCTTAAAAGCACCACTTTCCTTCTTCTTCGCTGTATTTAATAATGCATAGAATTAGTTTTTCATCATTTGTCCTACTGTACAGGGGTAAGAATAATTCTGGGCTTGACTGTACTTTTGTTTTATGGTTAAATCAACTTTATATATGAATATAAAGTGTGTTTTCAGTGTTTTGCTAGTTTGTAGTGCTTTTTATTTATTGAAATGAATCAATATATTAATATATATCATTAAAATAGCTTTTAATAAAAGTTATTGGCCATTAAAATATGTTTTTTTCATTTTTGAGTTGATCAATGTCAGATATTTAATTGTGCATCTAACACTTAGTTGAAGCTGATCTTAAAACACTGAGATCATGTAAAACTCACAATTAGTACATTAGTTTTTGCCTAACTCACTTGTATTTTAAATAATTTTTGTTTTTTTTTATTTGTTTATTTATTTGTTTGTTAGTTTGCTTGTTTGTTAGCTAGTTAGCTAGCTAGTTTGTTTGTTTATTTGTTTGTTTTGTTAGTTTGTTAGTTAGCTTTTTTGTTAGTTAGTTAGTTAGTTTGCTTTTTTGTTAGTTTGTTTGTTTGTTAGTTTGCTTGTTAGTTAGTTTGTTTAGTTAGTTAGTTAGTCTGTTTGTTAATTTGCTTGTTAGTTCCTTTATTTATTTTGTTAGTTTTGTTTGTTAGTTTGCTTGTTAGTTAATTTTTTGTTAGTTTGTTTGCTATTTTGTTTGTTTGTTTGTCTGTTTGTTAAATAGTTTGTTAGCAAGTTAGTTTGTTTGTTTGTTTGTTTGCTTGTTAGTTAGTTAGTTAGTTAGTTTGTTTGTTTGTTAGTTAGTTAGTTAGTTTGTTTGTTAGTTAGTTAGTTAGTTAGTTAGTTAGTTTGTTTGTTTATTAGTTAGATTGTTTGTTTGTTTGTCTGTTTGTCAAATAGTTCATTAGTGAGTGTTTGTTTGTTTTGTGAGTTTGCTTGTTAGTTTGCTTTTTAGTATGTTAGTTTGTTTGTTATTTTGTTTTTTGTCTGTTTGTTAAATTGTTTGTTTGTTTGTTAGTTTGTTTGTTTGTTTGTTGAATAGTTTGTCTGTTTGTTAAATAGTTTGTTAGATTGTTTGTTTGTTTGTTTGTCTGTTTGCTAAATAGTTTGTTAGTGAGTTTGTTTGTTTGTTTGTTTGTTAGTTTGCTTGTTGGTTAGTTAGTTTGCTTGTTTGTTTGTTATTTTGTTTGTCTGATAGTTAGTTAGTTAGTTAGTTAGTTAGTTAGTTAGTTAGTTAGTTAGTTAGTTAGTCAGTTAGTTAGTCAGTTAGTTAGTTGGTTAGTTTTATACAAGTGTTTTGCAAATATCAACAGTTTATCAAAATTTTAATATTTGACCATTCAGGAAATTTTATTAGAATGATTTCATATATAATGTAAATAATTTTTGTCTGTAAATGAATGTCTTTTAAATGCTTTTGGCTCTGTGCAGTCCACATGGAGAGCAGAAAGTCAACGTAGGCCTTAATCTCAAGTTCAACAAAAAGAACGAGGAAGTTCCTGGCTACACCAAGAGAACAGAGAAGGAGTGGCTCTACTCTGCTGCTGTTGAGGAACTAATAGCTGAATACCTAGAACGGTGTGTTTGTGTATTTGTGGTCATAGTTAAAACTTCCACATTACCACCAGCACCTAAGTTTTTTTATGTCTTTATTTTTGTCATAGATTTTCAGAGGTGTTTGACCATGTAGCACGAAACAGCCACGATGACATATTTTACGAAGACGACATCTGGCCGGGAGAGGATGAGAATGGGTGTGTATGCAAACCAGCAGTCGTGCATGGAATTCATATGCAATGTCCTACTTTATTTCCATTACAAATTTTTACAGAAAGCTGCACTTAATAGTATGCCAGAGTTAATGATTATAATTTGACTGTTTCTTATTGTGATGCTTAAAAATAAATTAATAAAGAGTGGAAAAGGTCCAAGAGATCCAGGGCTGGTTGAAAACGCATCCAGTGAGCTCCATCTCCAGAGCATCATGTGATCTGCAGATCCTGGATGCTGGTATTGTGGAGAAGATTGAGGAGGAGCTGGAGAAAACGAAGGTGAGGATCACATACAAAAATTGACAATCACAGTTACTGTTGCTGGCATTACGTTAACAATGTGTTGATTTCTGGATTACAGGCAAAGAAGATGAACAAGAAAGTGCGGGTCACCGTGAAGCCCCATCTGCTTTTTAGGGTTTGTGTCTGTGTGTCAGTGTGTATGCTTAAGGAATGTGATATCTATGTATTGACATGCAAAGCCCTAATTGCACATGTAAATTACAGAGACGTCTAATTGATGTGTATGTTTTCATCTGGTATACATAGGGTTTATAATCTGCAATGTGTCTCTGAGACATTTCCTGTCAGAAGATGTTAAATAGATGTTTAGAATGTGTTTAACATGGTTAGGTCAGATTGTTGGTTTTCACACAATGCACTTTTTAAAATGCATTTTGCAAACGCATGCGTGCTCTCTTGAGTATAGCAGCCTAAACTATAGCTGTCTAAACTAGCTATACATCAAATAAGTTAGTATGTCTGTGTAGCTGCTTAACAATTTCATTTGACAAACTGTTTTTTAAATGGTAAAACTTGTTGACAAAGTTTTGCCTGAGTGCTTTGTAAGCTGTATAAAAATAGGGTGATGTGGGGAAAAAGTAAGAAAGAAGGAAATAGATCAATACAGAAAGAGATCAAGAAAGAAAGGAAGAAAAGAGATAGAAAGAGATTAATATAGAAAGAAAAAGAGATTGCTAAAGGAAGAAAGAGATCAACAAAAAAGGAAGAATGTATGTAAGAAAGAGACAAATAAGGGAAGAAAGAGATTAAGAAATAAAGAAAAAAGATTGATAAAGAAAGAAAGAAAGAGATTGATAAAGAATTGATTAACTTTGAAGTAAACGTATATGTGTGTTACTTTGTTTGTTCAGCCTCTGGAGCAGCAGCACGGTGTTGTTCCAGATCCTGATTCAGAATATCATCTGTTTGACCGTGTGGTCAATGTGAGAGAGAGCTTTTCTGTTCCACTCGGCCTTCGAGGAACCATCATCGGCATCAAAGGAGGTACAAGTGTAAACCTGGCACAAACTCTTTGGTTTCATTCAGAATTTAGTTTTCTCATTCAGCTTCCACTTTTATTGTTCAACAGCTGACCGTGAGGCTGAAATTCTATATGAGGTGATATTTGATGAGGAGTTTGCTGGAGGACTCACTATCAGGTACAGTCGATTTTTGCTCTCTGTAGACAACACACATTTGTGTCAATAAAATTAATAATAATAATCAGCATAGATCTATTATAATGTTCATAATGTAAAATGAGTGTCAGACAGTGTATTGATTGTGTGTGTTTAGGTGTTCTCCTGGCCGTGGGTATCGTTTGCCCCCTAGTGCCTTAATCAACCTGAGCCATGGCAGCAGGAAGGAGCTGGGCTCACACAAACTCACTGCCATCGTCAAACCTCAACCCTCATCTTCATCACAAATCTCAAACAAGAGCCAGCTGGGTGGCCTTAATCACTCACCACGCTCACCGTTCATACCTACACAGGTAATGGACACACACTCATACCTAGGCCCACACGGAATCTGCGCACGCAGACTTTTAGCCCATCATTGATTGTTTATTTACTTGAGTGAATGGATGTAAATTCATATTTATTCAATTTTTTATATTAATTTCAGTAATAGTATTGACTTATATGAAAATATTCATATGATTTATTTACTGTATAGTTTGTAAAGTAATATTTTTTCAAAATATTTTTGCCTTTTATTAGATATATTATATGAGAGACTTTCTTAGTTTACTAAATAAAGTGGATCTAATTGGATTTGCATTGTAAACATTAAACAAAAGTTAAAAAGGTATTACTTTTTATATATTAAGGTTTTAGTTATGATACTCTCAAAAAATAATTCAGTGTAAATCCGCAGATTTTTAACTCAATTCTGCGCAGAAATAGCAAACATTCTGTCTGGCCCTACTCATGCCTCATAAACAAGGCTAAAGTCATTATAAAACATCCTGTTAGTGAAATAGCCATTTCAGACCAGTAGTTGTTAAATAATGAGATGAGCAAACTCAGGTACACACAAAAACCAAACAATAAAGATGCTTTCTTTCTGACAAATAGTCCTCGCTGTGTTTAAAATCACACTTCCATACTATATAGAACATGGTTTTCTAATAGTCATGTAATAAATACATTTTAAATGTAGCTCATACTCGAGTAGTGTTCATTACTTTAGTCTGTAAACCTATTCTATGATTCACTCTCCGGAGCTGAAGGTGGCGGTAGTGGGCCAAAATGCTGGATGCCAACCACCTTAAAATGTGTATTTATGTGTATGTTGTGTATGATGTGTATGTTGTGTGTATGACTTCACTGTGGACGGCAAAGTAAGAATCTCATTGTACAGGGAGACGTGTTTCCTTAATGTGCACATGACAATAAACAGTTGAATTGAATTAAAACTGCGAGAAGACGAAAGATGATGATGTTGCAGCCATAGACATCTATTATACAGGGTTTTTCTCAATTCTTAAGAACAGAGAGAACGGACTGGCGTTCTTGTGAAGTCCGGTCTTGCCAGGTCACTTCGGAAGAACTTGGGAGATCGCAGAACATGTCCTCTGAGTAATGAAATGCTGCGTTCTTCCCTGGTTCTTCCTGAAGGTCTTGTGACCTTTATGCATTTTTAACTGAAAATTAATTAAACATTACAGCATTCATTCAATGATTTATTGTTTTTTCCCCTTTATATACATGCACTAAAACCTTACAAATATACGTTGCACAATACAAATAAAACAGATTTTAAAATCAATTTCAGCAAATAAACACCCTTAATGTGTTTATGTCTTTATTAAGATTTCTCTGAACTTTTATGATAACTCCATATAAAATGCTTCGCGTCCTACATCCTTTATTCAGTTCTGGGACTTCTTGAGCGAGTTTGGTGCTCAAGTCTGCATTGGTGAATCCTCAATACCAAGAACACATCCAGGAACTTTCATGCGTCTTCAGTTTTTACGGTCTTAAGTTTTGGAACTGCACTTTGGCAGTTGATAATGATGTTACATGAGAACACGAGGACATGAGAATGCATATTGAGAAACATCCAATGATTACGGTTGCAACCCGCATGCTGACTATGATGGTCGGGAAAGGACATTAAAACAAACTTTATTGTATAATTTAATAAATTATACAAATAATTACTGTTTCTAGCGACAACTGCTCATGCATGCAAGTTGATAAAATAGATGTAACCGTTCACATGCATTCATTCATTCATAAAGTCATAGTTATACAGGACAGTTGTTACTGATACACGCTAACACATACGCGACATCGACATGCATGCTGTTGACATACATTTTGCACTACAAGCTGAAGCGAGGGGTGTTTCCAAATCGCATTATCAAGTAGTTGCTCTGTGGTTCACTTCATTTTACCATAAATTGGTTCACAAACAAGGCACAATTCTCAATGCTGGTCTTTCAGAAAGATTGATCCTAAAAGACAATGGTGTGCTGAATATAATGCCGCACTAAAAACGTGGGAGTAACGGTTTAATTATTTGATCACTGTTTTTGTTTTTATTATGGATTGTGTGATATGTACCAAGTATTTAAGCATTAAACCTAAAATACAGAATTGTCCATCTGCATGTGTATTTCCGAGCATGCTTCACGCAGGTGAGTGGACTTTCTAAACCACCTGTAGGAGAGTTTTTCTCTCCATATGGACCAGACACTTTCCTACAAACACTCCATTTCATGGATTTAATAAAAACAGTAATAATAATATGTTAAAAGCAACTGCTACACTAACTAACCGGTCACAGCACCTTTAGTATTTCTGATCTTAGGTGATTTTTACTTGCTTCTTTTATTCTCGTTTAAGTCGTTTCGCAAAGCTTTTGCGAAATTAATAAATATTGATGTAGACTGTCAAACTAACATGATTGTTCTTTTCAACATTAGAGGAAATAAAAATAATAAACATGTAAAAGGTACATGGCCACTTATTGAAGTACCTAATGTTCTTGGTTACTATTGTGAACACTAACCAATTTTTCTTGAGGATCACCTGGCTGATAGTATTTATTTATTTTTATCTTGACAGCAGCAGAATGGCAGACAAAGTTTTAATCTCAGGGGTGACACTCAGGGCAACAGGAACTCGCCACATAAAGCCCTCAACCAGAGAAACCAACAAAAGGTATGAAGTGTGAGGTTAATAGGCCTTTTCTGCTGTGGGGGTTTGTCCATAATGCATTATAATACACTTCTATGTTTGTTTGTGTTTCTGTATAGGGGTCTAGTAATGAGAAAGAGTTCAGTAATGTATGGCAGTCCCTTCAGAATTCAGCAATGCCCCAGAAACCACCAGCCCACTGGCAAAATAATGTAGGTACCTTCTCTTACTCTGTGTGCTTGTTTGTGATTAGGGTTGTAACCATTTGCTAAAACAATTTTAAAAATAAATATGTCGATTACAGTAAATACATTTCCTTTAATGCATTCAGTAGGGAATTTTTTACAAAGCAGCTTGAATAAAAAATAGGAACAAGAAATTGGTCAAAAAGGCATAATTAGGCAGAAAATATATTACAAAAATGGTGTTATTTCATGACAAATGTCATGAGCACATTCATGTAATATGAGCAAGTGAATCTCTTTGCTGATGTGCCGATTTCCTTCGTTCGTGCACAAAACTTCTTGCGTGATTAACAATAACCAAAACACTAAAAATAGGCCTACATATTAAATTTTATTTTCTAAGAAACCATAACTTTTTTTAGCTGTAGGTTATATGAGATATTTCAAGTTTCAATCACTTAAAGACACAGAGAATAGACGGTGAATGAATATATGTTATGTTAAAAACATTTCAACATGCAAAAGGTGCACCATACTAATCAAATAAAAACATTTGTAAACAGAAATATATCTAAGGCAAGCAGAAATGTAACTAATATAAAATAGGGGGAGAAAATCAAAAGGTATAGGTTGTTTTTATTCACGTGGTTCTGGTGACACTCAAAATTCAGATGAGGGGCAGGAAGTAAAAAAACTGAATGGGAGACACAGAGAAAAGTCTGTATTTTTACAATTTATACCATATTTCAAAGAAGATATAAATAGAAAATGATCACAAATGTTGGGCATGATCCTTATATCATAAAGAGGGCCGAGTTTTTTCTACTGAGCTAAAATATATTTGCCTGTCATCAAGGCGGCAGATACTGTATAATCTATGTTAAATGAAAAAACACTAGAGTAAATACTAAAGTGTTTGGAAGCATACTATAGATTATTACTTGAATTAAACTGTCGTAGTAATTATATTGTTGCTGTGTTATGAAACTACTGTAGTCATAAACAAATTATTTTATAAGATTCAGTTTCTTTAATTATACACCATCACAATACACCAAAGATTGCACTAACATTACAGTAATTATTACAGATTACTCTGCTACAGTATTCTGTAGCATGTTTATTATGAATTACAGTACAGTTTTTTTTTTTTGTTTTGTTATTGTGCTGTCAGGAAAGAAAAGTGTTGCACGGTTAGGGATTTTGTATATCACAGTAAATGAATCAGAAAATAGAGAGAACAAACCTACTTTTCTTCATGAGAAATTTCAGTTCGGTTTAAGTTCTACAATTTAAAATTAAAGCTAAAAATTTGTATTGATGAAAACTGTGCGAAACTATTGCAAATGCTTTTTCTAATAAAAATGACAATTTATTAGTTATGAAGCTGTTTTAATTCAAAATATAAAAATCTGCATAATGAATTTAGTTATAGCAATGGTACTAATTGAGTATTGTTACATCTGACAGGCTGGTAAAAGCCAGATGCCACATCAGAATCAGCTGGAAGGACAAAATAAACAGAGCCAAGGCAACGACACATCCATCAAACTTGTATGTATTCATATTTCATACCACATTGTATAATTTGGCTGTCAAGCAGCATGATGTACATTCACTACTTATAAAACATTATGTAAGAGATGATCAACTGCTCGCCAATGCATTTAAAAAGGAGACAGAGGCAAAGAATGCCTAGGTAAAGTCTAAAATCATTTAATGCACAACAAGATGTTGTTTATCCTATTTCATTTGTTGCTCCAGACATGTTAAAACTAGCATTGCTTTTTGCTTAATAATTGACCAAATAGGTAAAAATTTTAATAAATTACAACCTGTTCTATCTGCCCACTTTGAATCAGTCACAGGCAGACAAACAAACAGAAAATTGTGAATCGCCGTGTCCGAAATCACATACTTTCCTATTATACAGTATGCTAAAAACATACTTAATTTATTATTGGGTGTGAAGCGATGCAACTGATGCAGGGAGGTCAAGTGATAAGGACAAATGGCAGTAATGCAGTATCCAGATGCAGTACATATGGAAATGACACCGGCATATCTAAAAGCTCTGTCAATGACTTACTATGGTTACTACTAATGTCAAACGGTATAGCGCACTTATTTAGAACTGTGATCAATTCTGACTGGATCTACATGCGCATTAACAGATTTTATTTCACACCTTCCAGTTAATCAAGCTCAAAATTCTGTAAAATGAAATATTTTACAGTTCACAGAAATAAAGGTACGAGTGGTTTGTAAATAACATGCCCTTATTTATATCTTAAGGGTAATTATTAGTTACTAAAATGTACAAAAGTGTACTTCTTTGTATCTTTTAAGTAATAATAATAATATATATATATATATATATATATATATATATATATATATATATATATATATATATATATATATTTGAGGTACCAATTTTAAGCCTTTAAATACAAATGTGTACCTTTTAAAAAAGGTAACACCCCAGTGACATCTCGGCTACCTTTGTTTCCGAGGGTGCACCCTTATACACTGTTATATGTTATATTATGTTGTCATCTTTTATATAAGACTAAATGCCTTATTTGTTGATTTTTGTTTATTATTATTTTTTCAGGGTTTGGGTGGTAATATTAGACTCCTGAAGAGAAATGAGGATCTAAATACCGCTCTGCAGGGGCCTTCAAATAAGGTACGTTTAATAGTGATTGTGTGTGTTGCGAATGTTCAAGGAATAGTTCCCTCAAAAAAACAAAAGTTTTGAAAATCCTCCATCCTCCAGACCTGTCTCAGATTTGTTTGTTCCTGCAAGAAAAAAGAAAAAAAAAGAAAGAAAATACAATAGTGAACATTTGAAGTGGATCAAAAAGTTTTTCAAAAATGTCTTTAAACAAGAATAGGTATTGTTCAATAGTTTTAAAATGACTTTGATGAAAGTATACTGTACTACTGTATATATGTAGAATTTTTTTTGTCAGACAATGGTGTTTTGTTTTGCTTGGACTCTTGTGTATTCCAAACCCATTGCACATTCTTGGCTCCCCTTTTCAAGTTTGTGTATATGAAAAATATTCATAAAACGGATATGGTGCAGTAGTATTAGTTATCAGAAATAAGAGAACCATACAGACTATGAACAACATTAGACAGCATAAACGTGTGAACTCTAATTTTTTAGTTCTTACTGCGTTGAAAAACATCTTGTATCATATATCAACATAAGCAGACGTCAGCCAATGTTTCAGCTAAAGATAAAAGCTGCAAATAAATCTGAACAAAAGTCTCTCCGTCCCCATTATCCATTCTTGGCTTTCCATTCAGCCCCTATCTAAATAAAACCAAGTACGTGACTGTGTGGATTTCAGGTAGAGTCACGAGTAGATTGGCATGCAGGTGCCACTATCTAAAATAAATACTTACTGCTCTTTCACTATTGCCCAGTCATGTACTGCCCATTGAAATAAATTTGAAGCACTACCTTAAACTATGTGTATTTATTGCTATGATCAGTGTAAGACATCTTACTTCATATATGTATTTATTTACTTACAGGCATCTACAGAGTTTGAGGAGCTTATAGCCAATCTTAAAATCTCAAAGGATCCTGAACCTCCTCAGCATGAACCACCTAAAGAGCCCAAGGCCCCGTCAGCAGAGCCTCTCTCCCCACAATCCTTTGCCATGGTGCACAATCCACTTTTCTGTCTTCCACAGTGATAAAGTTTAGTTATTTAAATATCTTTATTAATCCAAACACATTTGCTTTCTCTGAGCAGAAGGGAACTCTAGTATTGAAAGAGATGTTGAAGATCGACAGCTCCGGAGCAAGTTCCTCTGCCCCTGATTCTGGCGGCCCCAATGCCCAGCAGCAGTGCAAGAGACGCTCCAGCAAGAAACTAGGTACTGCAGTTTGAGGAAGTCTGTGCAAATTTAAGTCATTCATTAGATGATGATTGACTGTGAGTAATTTTGGGAGTTGTTTGTCCCTCAGCTGCTCGGATAAACACTCCTCAGCCTGAAACAGCTCCGGCTGCTGCTGCTGCTCCTCCTCCTCCTCCTCCTCCTCATCCTCTGGCTGGTCAGCCACCCCTCCTGCCCAGCATGGCCACTGAACTAGGACGGGTGTGCATGGGGCTCCGGATGGGACCTCCAGAGTTTGCCTTCCTCCGCAACAGACAGGTTCGTCCATCTCAAAATCTGCATATCTTGTGTGTCTTTTTAGGGATACTTGTTTGTGAATGCACAAAACTACATGTAATACACACACTAATTCCATCAAATCAATTCAAACTCAAATTAGGGGTGTGCAATATTAATGTTTGTGTATTCTTTTGAGGATATTTTCATAATGAGTGATTGACGTAATTGTCCGTTCAAGTGTTTTGTTTCATAATTGCTGATTTATTTAGAAATGATGGGTAGATTTTTGACTCAAATGAGTTCAAAACAAATTGATTAATGAAAGGAACATTGCAGTGTCACTTTAGTATGCACAGATGTTCTGCTCTGGCTTTGATTTGAGCTATTATGATTGCCAGAACAAGAAAAATTAAACCAAGTATAAACTTAAATGGCATAAACTGAACTTTTGTAAAATATAAAAGGATCAAGCTCTGACATTCAGAAGCACTCATGTTTGTGTGATATTACATAATTATATCATAACTTATGATTATAAAAATCATACATACAGGGTTATTTTTGATTATAAGAGCTGCTCAAGATCCAATAATAACTAGAACTCAGGACTTAAGAGTAAAATATCTGTTATCAATAAAGGAGTTGATTGAGGAACCCAGAGAGGAGCAAAAACAGGAGACTAAGTAATGCTAAAGAAAGATCATATACATGCATATTTTTTAACAGGATGCTTTACAAAAATCTATTTGTTCATATTAGTTTAGTCAGTACTGAAGCCACACCTGGAGCTGATCTAACAAAAAGTCTCACGATAACGGTCCAAAAATGTGCACACCCAAATTTGTATGTTAAGAAAAAATCTGTTTGGTGACTAAAATGTTATTTTAATAAGTATATCGGTTTAGTAAAGCTGAATTGTTCAAATGCATTAGCATAAGCATGTTACCTAAATACACTTAGAAATAGATACAAATAAATCAACAATTTTGAAAATATAAATATTCAAAATGGGGTCTACTATTTTATGCTGATGTAACCCACCGGTACTGCTGCACCCAACATGCTCTGAGCTGGGATCGAACCAGCGATCCTTTGCATAGGAGTCGGTTTCTTTAACAAGGAGGCTAAAGACCAAGACCTCTAGCGTCTGTCACTGGAGCACCTTTAGAGGTCAACGGAGTGAGGTTTACCAGCATAGCACTATGGTAACACGTTGATGTCTGGTACACTTGTTTCATTGGCTTTATTTATGGAGCACATTTAAATATTCAACAGATATTGACCAAAGTGCTTTACAAAAAGACCAGCATACAAAATATATATAAATGCAAAATATATTAAAAAGATAAAAAATAATTATTTGCAATCAAAAAGCAAGAGACAGAAAGCGATTTTAAAAAAAAAAAATTTTATTATCATTTATTTTTTTTATTAGACTTAAAAGCACCAAGGGACGAACATGACCTAATATGTAAAGGCAGACCATTCCACAGATGGGGAGCTATGACAGAAAAAGCCCGGTCACCTCTTGATTTCAACCATGTTTTGGGAACATCTAGCTGAAACTTGTTTTCCGACCTGATTGGCCTCAATAAAGATTGCTAGTGAAGAAACTGACCAATGTAAATAGGTGCCAGACCATTCAAACCTTTAAAAACAAGTAGCAATCATTTGTATTGACACCTTAATTGGACTCGGAGCCAGTGAAGAGGTGATAAAACTGGTGAGATACAAGAAAATAATTTGTCCCAGTTAAAAGTCTAGCAGCTGCATTTTGAACCATCTGCAGGCGTGCAATTGAAGCCTGCGAACTTCCCGAATACAAAGAGCTGCAGTAGTTCAATCTGGACATAATAAAAACATTGATGAAGGTTTCCAAGTCTTTAAAAGACAGAAAAGGTTTCAATTTGGCAATGTTCCTAATTGATAGAAACCACTTTTGACGACTGAATTTATTTGCTTTTCAAACTTTAACTCAGTGTCAAAGATAACTTTAAGATTTTTTACGTGTCTGTGGACCTTAGGCTTGAGCAAACCTAATTGATTAATTGTAGATACACGGACACTCAGAGGGCCAAACACTAGTACTTCAGTTTTTGATTCATTTAAATGTAAAAATTTACCAGCCAACCATTCCTTAATCTCGTTAAAACGGGTAAAAGAGGTCTGTAAAACAGACCTTTTCTCCATTTTTATGGGCATATAAAGCTGAGTATCATTGGCATAGAGATGGTAGCTACATTTTAATATTTTAGCAAATTAAACAAAAGGACTCAAAAAGATTTTTCGTTTTTGGAGTGACATGTCAGTCGAACATCGTTAAAACCACAATTATGACATTCTTATCTTAAATATTACACTCTTAACTGTATTATAAATTTGAGAGGTAAGGGTAGGTTTCTAATAATCTACAATGGGCTGGGCGATTAATCGAAATCAACATTCAGAACCTATAATCGATCTCATTTTTTTCCAGGTCAATTTTTTAATTACTTTTCCTAGTTCTTTTTTTTTTTTTACTTTTTTAAAAACAAATTTAGTCAATGTGTGTTTTTGATTTCATTTGTTAAAAGTTGATGTTCATTAAATAATCATAGATAGTGGATCGAGTGTGTTTCCTTCAATTAATTTATAATCAAGTAATGCACACTTCATATAAAAATCTCTCGCATGTAATATGTGAGCGTATTTACTGTACAAAACCTCTCAGTGAACTATGCGGGCAAATATAAATAAATAAATAAATAAATAAATAAATAAATAAATAAATAAATAAATAAAATATTCATTTATTAATGGTAATCGAGTTAAAATGTTCAAATCCAAACCAGCCAAATCGCCCAGCCCTACCACAGTGTGCACGAAATTTCTTCATCATATGTAACAGAGTTCAGTTTTGAATTTGGTTAGGTGTTTTTAAATTAACTTTTCTCAGAAACTGGACGAATGATAACAATATACATATAATGGCCTTGTTTTGCTCCATCTTTTCATATCATTTGCTCTTTTCTCTATGTTCTGCAGAGTCTGATCTTGTGTCAGGTGAAGTTGTCGAATGGTCTGATGGTTCACGGCCCTCAGTGTCAGTCAGAAACCGAAGCTAAAGAGAAAGCTGCTCTCTTCACCCTTCAACGATTGGTAACTCGCTGATCATAATGTTGTAATATTCCTAATGAGCAAGCTCATGAAGAGTTAAAGTCAAAATTATTATTGTTAGAATTATTATTAATTTTTTTCTTTTCTTTTTTGAATATTTCTCAAATTATGTTTAACAGAAAGGAGAGTTTGTAGCAGAACAGAAAAGGAGTTTGTAATATTATTTAAAACCATTTTAAGGTCAATATTATTAGCCCCTTTAAGCAATATTTTTTTGATCGTCTATAGAAGAAACCATCGTTATACAATAACTTGCCTAATTTCCTGCCTAGTTAACCTAATTAACCTAGTTAAGCCTTTAAATGTCACTTTAAGCTGAATACTAGTGTATTGAAAAATAACTTGTAAAATATTATTACTGTCATCATGGTGAAGATAAAATAAATCAGTTTTTAGAAGTGAGTTATTAAAACTATAATGTTTAGAAATGTGTTGAAAAAGTCTTCTCTATGTTAAACAGAAATTAGGGAAAAATATACAAGGGGGCTCATAATTCTGCCTGTATGTTAGTAGCAGCACTATATGTCATGATTAAATACAGTCAAGTCTGCAGTAAGTTTTAGTGCATAACTCTTTGTCCACTGCTGAATGAAGTCTGGTTTTCTGCAGAACTCGCTGGGCTCTTTCCCATTGCCTCCTCCCATATTCCCTGGAGTCCAGCAGATGAGACCGCTTGCACCTCATCCCTCCATGTTCGGACAGCCAGGAGGTCTGAGTCACTGCGTTGTCAATTTTCTCTTATTCTCTACAGTTGTTGTTTTAATGCAGATGTCCTCATGTTTACACTTGATATGACGCATTATTTATTTACACAGGTGGGTTTCTGATGCCCCCTCAAGGGTACGGGCCTCTTCCCTGGGGGATGCAGTTTCCCCATCAGGGGCAGCCGTTCTTTGGAGGAACTTTTCCTGGAGCACGAGGCCCTGTGCCATCAGCAGCCGGCGGATCCCATAACCAGTTTGTTCCCCTTCAGGTAATGATTTGCGTCTAGACATGCACACGGAAATCAGTGGCTGTGTTTACACTTAGCATAGATAACATTTTGTTAGAATGTGAAATCTGAAAGGTCCCGTGAAGTGCTTTGAAATGTGCATTTTTACTCTGTTTCATGTAATCGAACTGAATCACGAAGAGAGGGTGGGACGTAGAGTAGCTTCTCCCCTCTTAAAAGCTAGCCAATAGCTTTTTATTTTATTACAGCACTGCCAGTGAGAGGGGTTTAGATTAAGTGCATCAAAGTTCACCTTCAGTGCACCTTAAGTTCACGTGTTTCAAAACAAGGTATTTTAAAGAAGGTTGGAAAATTGTTACCATTGACTTCAAAAGCATTTCTCCTCTACTATGGATGTCAATGGCTGCCGCTTTCAAGCACTCTTCAGAATATGGTCTTTTGTTTTTTAACATTAAAAATTGAACAATATCAAGTTAGAAACAACTTGAGGTTGAGTAAATACTGAAAAACTTTTTTTTTTGGTGAACTATCACTTTAAATCATTAAATCAACAAAAAAAACAACAACAACACGTATCTGTATATAATCATCCTGGCTTCAAGTATAAAATTCATTACTAGATGCTGGTATAAACCTAATCTATCACAAATGCAAGATTTGATTGATGTTTGGAAAAATATTTTAGTTATGGAGAAAATTACATGCAGTGTGCAAAACCAAAAAGATATATTTGTTGACTTCTGGTTTAAATGGATTGAGTACATTGCACCCATTCAACCTAATGTCTTTTTGCCATAGACCATTTCAATGTGGTCATGTCACTGGCCTATGAACATTTCCTGCTTGTTATCAAACTATTTCATAACTGTAACAAGAGGCAATTCAATCATAACGTCATGTTAAAACAGCTCTTATAGCATTATTTATCAATATGTGGCTCTTTTTTTAATTCTTGGAAGCTATAGAAATTAAAAATGTAAAACATGTTAGGACCATTGTTATCGTTTGCATCCCTCAAAATGGTCTATAGAAGAAAATATTGCACCCACCCCTCTTTCTTCTGTATATAGTTATAATAGTAATAATAATAATTCCTTACATTTATATAGTGCTATTTCTGTACACTCAAAATACTTTACACATTTTGGGGGTAATCTCCTCATCCACCACCAGTAGGCAGCATCCATCTAGATGACGTGACGACCAATAGGTGTGAAGGAGACAGTGATGAAGCCAATTATAATATGGGAATGGTTAGGAGGCTATGATAGACTGAGGCCAGTGGGCAAATGAGGCCAGGATCCCGGGGTTAAAACCCCTACTCTTCTTCAAAGGACATCCTAGGATTTTTAATGACAGCTGAGAGTCAGAACTTCGGTTTAACTTCTCATTCGAAAGACGGCACTCACTGAACAGTATAGTGATATGATGTAAATGATGTAAAATAAGGCAAAGGGATATGTTGTTCTGTTCCTGTCATGAAGAATTTAGTTTCCTGTTTGATACCTGATTAGAAATTTGAAAAGTGAAATGTCTACTGATGCTGTGGATTGTATTTCTTTGCAATAAAAACTTTATACAAAACAAAACAAAAAATCACTAAATCAGAGCATTGCATTTGGTATTAAATGATGTCAATGTGTTTCAAAGTCCTATGAAACCAAACAGTACAATGGACACAATATTCTCATTAACTCTTGTCCACTCATATATATTTTCTCTTTAGGTGACCAAGAAACGAGTTTCAGGCAGAACCAAGAACCAAGAATCAAATCAAGCTCAGAGTGGCTCACCCTATGGCGTTCAGACCCCTGCAGTGCCTCCATCAGCCCCTAAAACTCCACCATCCACCAACGCCCACGAGCATGCAGAAAAGCCCACCGCAACTACACCCAAGACCCCCAAGCAGAATGCCAATCCCCACACCCCCGGCTCCGCATCCAAGAGGAAACACCGGAAACTGGCAGTCAACTTTGAGGCTGCTAAGGTGACGGACTGAATCATTTTCTAAGTATAAAAAGAAGAGCGATATGAAACCCCATATTTCATAGCCAAAAACAAAAAAAGATGCAGCTGTCCGTCTTCATGATTTGATCATGCTTGGTGAGACAAATTATTTATCACTAGCTTTGAATTGGTATTCCTTTTATAAGTTGGCATTTTGTTTGAGTGAAGGTAACGCCGGAGAGCATTTTATTAATCAACTGCACCAAAAATGATCATAGAATCATGAAAGGAGAAAAAAAAGGGTTTTATATTTACCTCAGCTTTTTTCTTTTTCATATTTTGACCCCATCTCAGACCTTGAAGCTTTTATCATGTTCACTGGTTACTTTCTATGCTGGATTTTAATATTCAAAGTGCAATAATTAGTTTTGTAGACTGGACATTATGCACAAATACAGTGTGGCATAAGCTGCTGCAATACATCTGTATTAATATTTCATATTTAGTTCATTTTTTTTTTCTCATATTGCACAGTGGTGCAGTCCAGCATGGAAGGCTAAAAAAAAAACGTTATCACCCGACAGTGTAACTAGGAAAGCAGTCAGATTGATCTCTTGGGTCTAGTTTGAGAGCCCACACATTGCTTTGCTGAAGATTTTGTTTTAAGCACTAAAGCAGGTGTTAAAACCAGCCCGTAATGTCCACCTTGCCGGGAAGCACACTGATTTAAGCAAACCTAATCTCTGTGGATTATTATATAATTGTGTGTGTGTGTAAATATAAATAGACTAAATGTGGTGGGGAGGGAAAGAGGGGGTGCAAATTTAAACACAATTGCCTTTCTAATAAGATGTTGCTCGAATGGTGTTTTCTTATGGGTTGTGAAACATTTCAAATTGATTTTATTTTTGTATTAGCCTACATTTCTTTCCAGGGGGAGATGTTTCAGTTCTGTGGTTTTAAAATGAATTCTTTGTGTATTTAGATCTATGGATTTTATACGCACCGTTTTACAGATGGATAAATTACAATTGTTAATATTTCTCTTTGGAACTATGCCGGCACCCCATTTGTTTCTTTTTTTTCCATCTTCTCTGCCTATTTGTATCCTAACAGATCTCTTTTGTACAAGTTTTAAAATGTTGAACGTACGAAACCCTTTTATTTTTTAATTCTCAGTTATTTAATGACCATGACAAAAACGAGCGCATTTCCTGACAAGGTGGTGCGCTTTAAATACACTTTTGTTATCATAATAAACATTTTGCTATCATAAAGCCTCGGATCCTGTCATAATTACAGTTTCTAAATGATTTTTTAAAGCAGTTTTACAGTTGAATTAAGCAAAATTACAGTAAAATACTGCAAAATCTATTTCCTTTTTAGCTTAAAACTGTTCAGTCATGAGCTCAGTTTGAAGGCCAACCCATGAAAATTTGTCAAGAAAGTATTATTAAGTTGCTATAAAGCAGAGATGACCATACTAGGGCCTGCAGGCCAAAGCTGGCCCATGGTAGCCTTTGATTTGACCCTCTGTGCCATTTGAGAATGATTTAGAGATTGTCATTTCAAATTTAATGTAAACTTTTACTTGTTTGTTTTAAAGTTAAGCTACAAATTAAACTATCTGAAATAAAATCTTTTAATATAAATGGTGTAAATGAATCCGAATTAGTTTAAAATGTTCATACGATGGATAGAGGACATTGCAGAGACTTTAGTGAGTAAATGAAGACACAGGCAGATTCTGCTTGACTTGTGTATTCAGCATTGAACTCCATTGTGTTATAAATGTGATTGTTTTTATTTCAAGTTGTTGTAAAAGTTATACTGCATCAGTTAAACCGTTTAAAAATTAACGTAATAGTAAAAATCTGTAATATTATGAAAAGAATTAGAAAATTACCTATGGCAATTTTAACGTAAAATAGTTTAGTATATTTATCTTTGGCCCACAGCTCTCAGTGATATTTGGTTTTTGGTCTTTCGTACGAAAAAGTTTGGACACTGCTGCTATAAAGGAATGTTTTAAAGTTTGTTCATATCTGAAAGTGTAATCCTTTTATCAAGTTACACTAGAAATATGTGGCTAAATGCTAATAACTTACTAGTCTTGTATTTCTAAACGTCTGCGCTTGCTAATGTCTGCTTGAACACTTGTGCCAAATTCAGGAAATTTGTCTGGTGGACAAGTGCACTGCAAAAAATGCTGAATTC